CTTCCTTTCTCTTGTAGCTTTTAAAATTCTCTCCTTATTCTGTATGTTGGGCATCTTCATTATAATGTGTCTAGGTGTGGGTCTCTTATGATTTTGCACATTCGGCGTCCTGTAGGCTTCTAGGATTTGGGGTTCTGTCTCATTCTTCAAGTCTGGGAAGTTTTCTCGTATTATTTCATTGAATAGATTGCTCAATCCTTTGGTTTGAAACTCTGTCCCTTCCTGTATCCCAATGACTCTTAAATTTGGTCTCTTGATGTTATCCCATATTTCTTGGATTTTTTGCTCATGGTTTCTTAACAGTCTTGCTGAGCTGTCTATGTTCTTTTCAAGTTGAAATACTTTATCTTCATTGTCTGATGTTCTGTCTTCTAAGTGTTCTACTCTGCTGGTAGTATTCTCAATTGAGTTTTTAAGTTGGCTTATTGCTTCCTGCATTTCTAGGATTTCTGTTTGTTTGTTTTTTATAACCTCTATTTCCCTGTATAGTTGATCTTTTGCTTCTTGGATTTGTTTATGTAATTCATTGTTGAAGTGATCTTTCATTGTCTGATTTTGCTGTCTGATGTCTTCCTTGAGACTCCAGATCATCTGAAGCATGTATATCCTGAATTCTTTATCTGACATTCCATCTGCTGCAGCTATTACCTCTTCTAACGTTGAGTTGACCTGCAATGCTTGTGGTCCTTTCTTTCCTTGTCTCTTCATACTGTTCGTGTTCCTTTCTACTTGGTGAAACTGTTGTGCTATTGAATTTTCCCCCTATATATTTATATTGGTCTTGTATAGTTGCAAAGTCTCCCTCGCAGGCGCGGGCGGCGGCTCTGTCCCTCTGCGGGCCGCTAGGCTTGTTCTGTCGGTGGTCACAGTTCTGTCTACTTTGCAGGCGCAGGCAGCGGCACTGCCCCTCTGCAGGCCTCTGGGGCTGTACTGCCAGTGGGTCGCAGGTCCGCCTACCTTGCAGGCGCGGGGGGGGTGGGGGCGGCTCTACCCTTCCTCAGGCCACTGGGCCTGTTCTGTCTCTCGGTTGCAGGTCTGGCCTGTTCTGATGGTGGTCACAGTTCTGTCTACCTTGCAGGCGCGGGGGGAGGGGGCCGCTCTGCCTCTCAGCAGGCCGCTGCTCCTCTTCTGCCGGTGGGTCGCAGGCCCGCCTACCTTGCAGGAGTGATTGGAAGCTCTGCTCTGTGCGTGGTCACAGTTCCCTCTACCTTGCCGGTGCAGGGGGAGGGGGCGGCTCTGCCTCTCAGCAGGCCGCTGCTCCTCTTCTGCCGGTGGGTCGCAGGCCCGCCTACCTTGCAGGAGTGATTGGAAGCTCTGTCCCGCCGCGGGCCACTGGGCTGTAGCACTATTTTAAAAAAGAAGAAATATCTCAAATCAGTGACCTCAGCTTCCACCTTTAAAACAACAGAATGAGAGAGAACGAAAAAAACAAACCTAAAATATATATTATATTTTCTATCCTCAGTACTGCAAATATATATATATATATATATATATATATATATATATATATATATATATATATATATATATATAATTATATATATGTGTGTGTGTGTTTGTGTGTGTGTGTATATATATATATATATATGGAATACTACTCAGCAAGAACATATATATGTAGATATATATATCTCCAATAACAAGCATGAGAGAAGGGAATTACTACAGTATTTAAAAAAAGAAAATAGATTTATGACAACCGACCCGCCCAGCCTCTCCCTCAGCCCGAAGCCATTCAACAGGAAGCAGCCTCTACCTCCGAGTCACGTTTCTGCCTAAGATGGCTGCGCCAGAAGGAACGGAGTAAAGGTTGTGTCTTAAGCTCCAGCAGGCATGTTAGAAGAACTGGGGAAGCACTGGCTGTTGGGAGGAGAGCAGCATGGTCAAGATGGAAACCCATAAACCACATGATACTATCAAGGAAAACTCAGTTTTTGATATCATAGCCAGAAAAATTGAACTTACTACCAGAAGCAGAAAGGCACCTGCTTGAACATGGATCCACGTGTATTGGATTTAATGCTGCTCTCTGTGGCCTAATAGAATAGCAAGAAGTCTTTCTCGGTGTGTCTTGCATGTAACATGGGCCGGAATAGCTGCTGGCTTACCAATGGCAGTGCTCCCATTTTGGGCAGTGACTGCATCTTTCAAAGGTTTTGTAAGTTTACCGTTGAGTACAGGTGATTTGAATTGTGAAACCTGTACCATGGCACGGGGTGGACTTGTTGGTTTTGTTTTAGGAGGTCTGTACCCTGTTTTCTTGGCTATATCTGTAAATGATGGCCTAGCAGCCAGGCATCAGTCAGCCCTGCTACCAGAGATAGGAAACACCTCAACTTACTGGATTAAAGTTTCTAAGCCTATCTTCAGAAAGATGTTATTTCCCATTTTACTTCAGACTATGTTTGCAGCATACCTTGGGTCTAGACAATATAAAGTACTTATAAAGGCCCTTCAGTTACCTGAACCTGGCCTAGAAATTCACTGATTTTGAGCAAATGTGTATACAAAATAAAATTGTAAAGATAACCTTTCTCTCTAATGTTAAAAATAAACATAGACTTGTAATTTAAAAAAATAAAAGAAAATAGGTATATGCTAATAAATTCAGCAACATAGATGAAATGGAAAAATTCCTTACAAGACAGAAACTACAAAAACTCACTTTACAAAGAATAAACTGAATTTCTCTATACATTTAAAAATAGAATTTTTATCTATTTAAAAATAGGATTTGTATTTTAAAACCTTCCCTCAGGTGCTGGGATGCAGCACAGTGGTAGAGCACTTGCCTGGCATGTGTGAGGTCCTGGGTTCCATCCCTACCACTGAGGGGCAAAAAATGGTTCAAAGAAAACTCCAGACCAAGGTGGATTCACTGGTGAATTCTACCAAGCATATAATTAAGAAATAATATTGCTGGGCGCAGTGGTACACACCTGTAATCCCAGCAACTCGGGAGGCTTAAGGTAGGAAGATTGCGAGTTCAAAATCAGCCTCAGCAACTTGGTGAGGCACTTAGCAACTCAGTGAGACCCTGTGTCTAAATAAAATGCAAAATAAGGCTGGGGGCTCAGTGGTTAAACACCCCTGGGTGCAAGCCCTGGTACAAAAAAAAAAAAGAGAGAGAGAGAGAGAAAGAGAGAAAGGAAGAATTTTTTTTCCAACTCATTCTATAAAGCCAGCATTACCCTGAAACCAAAACCAAATAATGGCATTGCAAGGCAAGAAAACTGCAGACTGCTGTCCCTCATGAATATAGATATAAAAATTCTAGACAAAATTTTAGCAAACAAAATATGAAAATGTTAGTAGGTACTCACTTCAGCAGCACATATGCTAAAATATAAGCAACAGAGAAAATAATATCCTGGCCTCCATATAAAGATGATACACAAATGTATAAAGTGTTCCATATCGTGTGTATGTGTGTGTGAGAGAAAGAGAGAGAGAGATAGATACTGGTCATTGAACCCAAGGGTGATCTACTACTGAGCTACATCCCCAGGCCTTTTCTTTTTTATTTATTTTGATACAGGGTCTTGCTAAGTTGCTAGGCTAGCCTCAAATTTGCAATCCTCCTGCCTCCACTTCCCTAGTTACTGGGATTACAAACAAATGCCAAGGCATCCACCTCCATATCTTTAAAAAAGAGGATATTATGACCACATGGAGATTAACCCGGGAATACAGCTTTACTTATAATAGCCCAAAACTAGAAGCAATGCAACGTGTGAATGGATGAACAAACTCCTACACCCATACTATGGAATACTACTCAGCAAGAACAATAGCACGATAGAATCTCAAAATAATTATGCCGAGTGAAAGAAAGAAACAAAAAAAAAAGAGTATACACTGTATGATTCCATCTATATACAGTACAAACTAATTTATAGTCAGCAAAAGCCAGTCAGTGGTTGCTTGGGGAAGAAGGAGGGGAGAGCATGGACAGATGGGAGGAGAATACCAACAGGCATGAGAAAACATTTGGGGTGAGAAATATGGTCACTATCCTGGTTGTAATGATAGTTTCACATATGTATACATATGTTGAACTTGTCAGATTGTACACTTTAAATATATTTTTTCATTAAACATCAATAAAAACTTTTTTGAAAATAATTGGCAAGACTGGGCATGGTGGCATCCACCTGTTGTCCCAGCTACTCAGGAGCCCCAAGCAGGAAGATCACAAGTTCATTTCCAGGCTGGGCAACATAGTGAGATCCTGTCCCAAAACAAAACAAAAGTGAAAAAATATTGGGGGCTGGGGGTGTGGCTCAGTGATAGAGCATTTGCCTGGCATGAATGAGGCCCTGGGTTCCATTTCCAGCACCACAAAAGGGAAAAGGAAAGGGAGAAAGAAAGGAAGGAAGGAGGGAGGGAGGGAGGGAGAGAGGGAGGAAGGAAAGTGGCAATATGAAAAATAAAGCAACATGGAAAGTTATAATCATAAAATGATGAAGTTTTAATCATTATAATTAGAAGATTAGAAAGCACTACATACAATGTATGCATGCCATTATTATAGCAATCAAAATATCAAAATAGTCTTGGTGTTATGGAATATTTATTTTGTGTATAAAATAATGGAGGGCATTTATTTTCCATATTTTCTTTTAATATTTTCCTAACTCTTGGTAATTAAAATTACCTACAGCAAAATCACAAATATAAAAGAAGTACTCTCTTCACCAAATTATGCTACATGCATTTATGAATATATCACGATTCATTCTAATTTTATATATAACTGTAATGCACCAGTTTAAAAAAAAAGAAGAAAAAGAAGGAAGAATAGAGGGGATTGGGAGGGAAGAGGGGAGGAAAAGAGGAAGTACTGGGAATTGAAATGAAGAAAACTATGTTATGCATTTATGAATATGTCAAAATGAACCCCACAATTATGTATAACTATAATGTACTAATAAAAAATTTTAAGAAGAAGCGCTCCATTAAACTAACTCTGTTTTTCCTGGGCTTTCTTTTTATAGGGAATCACTTTAAAAATGAATGAGCTAAATCATTGTATTGTTGCAAGAATTATGCACGGGGGCATGATTCACAGGCAAGGTAAGTTTCATCTATAATTCTTTCTTTGCCTTCCTTAACTTTTTCCAGTAGCCTTATGAAGACAGTGTTTCTTACAATCCACATAAAAGACCCGTTCAAGGGGGGCGGACTGGATTGTGGCTCAGCGGTAGAGCGCTCACCTAGCACGTGTGAGGCCCTGGGTTTGATCCTCAACACCACATATAAATAAAATAAACATAAAAAATAACCATCCTTATGAGTGTGAAGTGAAAAAAAATATTTTAAAAAAAAGACTGTAAGAGCTATACTTGGTGGCTCATGCCTGAATCCCAGTGACTCAGGAGGATCACAAGTTCAAAGCCAGCCTCAGCAACTCAGCAAGGCCCTGACTCTAAATAAAAAATAAAAAGGGCTGGGGATGCAGCTCAGTGGTGCAGCACCCCTGGGTTCAATCCCCAGTACCAATAAATAAATAAAGACCATGAGAGATAAAGCAAAATATCACATAGGATTGCAAGATATAGGGAAAATATCTATTCAGAATACACATACACATATAAAAAGTTAAATAACAGCTTAAGAATTGATCTTACTCATTCAGAAGTGATATGCTATTTATAAATGAGGACAACAGAGAATTAGATAAATAATATAAAAATTAAATGGTAAAATAAGAGATGTCAAATTAACAATTAAATTCTTAAAACCTGCTATAGTAAGTACAGTCATTCAGAGAAGGAAATTCACTAAGGACTGATGTTGCTAAAGAATAATATTTTGAGAAAGTGAAGCCTCAGTTAACTTTCAAGAGTGGGCAGGATTTTGGACATATAGATTTGGGCTCCCCATTTGAAAGGACTGAGTTATACACATTAGTATTCAGAGGATGTTCCAAAAATGATTCTCCTAGCAGGCTCTCTTTCTTTGAGATGGGGTTATTTTTGTACTTAAAACCTCTTTCTTTATCCCAAGAGAGCAAGAAGTAACAGCCTAAACATTTTAGTGCCTTATTCTCGTTAGAGATGACCATTGTGTGTGCAAGATTGTCTGATATGACTGCTGCTTTCAGGGAATTTTTATAGGCATAGATCACATTCAGAACTCACACAGGAGGATGTTCAGCTTTAGATAACACATTTTTTTTAAGATTCATAAACATCTTTATTTATAAAATACTATCCTAAGAATTATAATTCCATTAAGCTTCAAGTGGAGCAAAAGTATAATCACTTAAGTAAAAGCAGTTACTTGAACTAAAAATGAGAGATATATTACTTTTGAAGGCAGATAAAAAAAATATTGTCAGGTTTCTTGTTGTGCTTCTGGATGTTCAGTAGCAGACTCTTTTGAAGGTGGAATCAACCCTGAAGGGAATTCACTTCTACTTTCAGGAGATAGCACATATTTTTTGTTTGGTTTTTTTGGTGGGGAAGGGTACCGGGATTGAACTCAGGGGCACTCGATCACTAAGCCATATCCCCAGCCCTATTTTGTATTTTATTTTATTTTAATTTAATTTTTTAGTATTTAATTTTTAGTTGTAGTTGGACACAATACCTTTATTTGATTTATTTATTTTATGCGGTGCTGAGAATCGAACCCAGGGCCTCGCAGGTGCTAGGCGAGCATTCTACCGTGAGCCACAACCCCAGCCCCCCTATTTTGTATTTTATTTAGAGACAGGGTCTCACTGAGTTGCTTAGCGCCTCACTAAGTTGCTGAGGCTGGCTTTGAACTCGAGATGCTCCTGCCTCAGCCTCCGAGTTGCTGGGATCACAAGCGTGCTCCACTGCACCCGGCACAACATCATTATTTCTTAAAACTCTCTATGTATTTATTTTTAATTTATTTATCTACTATTTATTTGTTGTCCTGGGGGTTGCACCCAGGGTCTCATGCATATTAGGCAAGAGTTCTACCACTGAATTACATCCCCAGCCCCCATTCCTATTTTTAAAAGGAATCTTAGGGTAAAGAAAACATGGTACATGTACACAATGAAATACTGTTCAACCATTTTTTTAAAAAAAAAAAAGAATGAAATCCTGTCATTTGCAACAACATGGGTGGAAATGGAGATCATTGTGTTAAGTGGAATATATCAGACACAGAAAGACAAGCACATGATGTCGTTCACACGTAGAAGCTAAAAAATCGATCTTGTACAAATTGAGAGTAGAATGGTGTCTGCAAAGGCTGAGGAGAGTACAGTGAATGGAAGTGGGGGAAAGGTTGATCAATGGGTACTTAGTTACAGTTAGACAGGAGCAAGAAGCTCTGGTGTGCTGTTTATCAAAGAAATATAACATTAAGACCTTGACTATTAAACAATTTGTATATACAACATTTTCTTAATTAAAAATGAATTTCTCATAATGTATAAATGTACACAAACATTACACTGTACTCCAAAGATGTACAGTTATTATGTCAATAAAAATTAAATAAGTAAAAGGAATCTTCACAATGTTTCCCCAGAAAGAATAATGTTAACTTCAGATTTTAAGTACCTATGTTTTTGTTTTTGTTTTTGTTTTGTTTTTTGGTACCAGGGATTGAACCCAGTGATTAACACTGAGCCACATCCCCTGCCCTTTCTTTTTCTTTTTCTTTTATTTTGAGACAGGATCTCCTTAAGTTGCTTACAGCCTCACTAAGTTGCTGAGGCTGGCCTCAAACTTGCAATACTCCTGCCTCAGCCTCCTGAGCTGCAGGGATTACAGGCATGTGCCACTGTGCCCAGCTAGTACTTACATTTTATTAGAGCTAAGGAAGCTCCATTATATTCATGATTGCTGAACATTTTAATTATGATTGGGTTTTGAATTTTATTAAATGCTTTTTCAATCTGCTCTTTTATCTATTAATGTGGTGAATGACTTAAAAGACTTCCTAATGATAAACTGCTCTGTGTTTATCAGATAACCTAATTTAGACATTGTTTATAGCCTTCTTATGTACTGCTGAACTCTGTGTGCTACTGTCTTGTTAAATGTAAATTTTGGTATTTACATTTATGAGTCTGCCCTGGGGTTAATTATCCTTTCTTGTACTTCTCTGATTCTAGTTTCAAAGTTAAATTCTACAAGCCCTCATAGAATGATTTGGAGAGCATTCCCTTTACATTGATTCCCTCAAAGATTTTATATAATTTCTGAATGATTTCTGTCTTGAAGATTTGATATAGAATTTGCCTATAAAAGTATCAAAGCCTAGTGTTTTGTTTTTGTGTTTGTTTGTAGACAGGGTCTTGCTATGTTGCCCAGGCTGGCCCCAAATTTCTGGGCTCAAATGATCTTCCTACCTCAGCTTCCCAAGTAGCTGGGACTATAGGCATCTGGCTTGTTTAAATTTTTTTGGAAAGTTTTGTTTTGATTTTTACAACAGCTACAATTTCTTTAACATTCATAAGGCCAGCCAGACTTTTTATTTCTTGAATGAGTTTTGGTAAATTACATTTTCCTTGAAAATCTAAGTTTTTATATATTATTGCAGAAAGTTTCTTCATAGTATTCTCTTAATTTTTTATTCTCTACCATCTCTGGAATCATGCTCCCTTGTTCAGTTTCAGTATTTTTATTTGTGCCCTCTCCTTTTTTTTAAAGAAACTTTTAAAAATATTTTTAGTTGTAGATGGACACAATACCTTTATTTTATTTGTTTTTCATTTTTATGTGGTGCCGGGGATTGAACCCAGTGCCTCATGCATGCTAGGCAAGTGCTCTAGCCACAACCCCAGCCCCTCCTTTTTTGTCTTGATTAATCTTGCCAGAGATTTGTTCAGAAACTACTTTGAGTTCTGTTCATTCTCTCCATGTTTATTTTCTATTTTATTTATGCTTTCTTATTTTTATTATCTCCTTCCTTTTACTCTCTATTGGTTTTGGCTAACTGTTTAAAATATTTTCAGTTTTTCTTTTATCCTAATTTATGCATTTAAAACTAAAATCTTCCTCTAAGTACCGTTTTATCTGGCTCCTAACAGTTTTGATATGCAGCATTTTTGAGTACTTTTCTGTTTCTGTTATATTTTTCATTGACCTGTAAGTTATTTAAAAGTGTTTTATATGTTCCACTTTGAGAAGATTTTCAGTATGTCTTTTTTTTTCCATACCAAATATTGAACTCAAGGACACTTAACCACATCTTCAGCCCTCTTTTATATTTTATTTAGAGACAGGGTCTCACTGAGTTGCTGAGGCTGGGTTTGAATTCATGATCCTCGTATCTCAGCCTCCTGAGCCTCTGGGATTTCAAGCATGTGCTACCACACCAAGCACTGTATGTCTTTTTAAAATGAATTTCTAACTTAATTACATTGTGGGCAGAGAATGTAGTCTGCAAGACAATATTTCTCTGAGGTTTATTGAGAGTTGCTTTATGGTCTAGTACTTTAATTAATTTTGTAGGTGGTCCATGTGTGAACTTAAGTCTTATTCTTCAATTGTTGTTTGCAGAGTTCCCTATGTGATGATTGGCTTGGTATTGTTAATATTTTTCTTTAAATCTTTTATGTCTTGACTAATTTTTTTTGTCTGCTTGGTCTATCAGTAATCATTGAAATATCCTCATTATCATGGTAGAGTTTTTAGATATCTATTTATAGATCTTCAGTTTTGGTTTATATATTTGAAGCTGTGTTACTAGGTACATTGGTATCCGTTTATATCCTTAATAACTTTCTCCTTAAAACCTATTTTATTGGGACTGGGGTTGTGGCTCAGTGGTAGAGCAATTGCTTAGCCCAGACAAGGCCCCAGGGTTCAATCCCCAGCACCACATAAAAATAAATTAAAAAAGATATTGTGTCCAACTACAACTAAAAAAAATAAATATTTTTTAAAAACCTGTCTTATCATGCATTCATATAATTATTTCAGCCTTACTTCAGTATTTGTTAGCATGTCTTCTTCCATCCTTTTATTTCTAATTATTCTGTCTGCATACTTTAGTGTGTCTTCTTCAAACATTTCCAAAGCTGAGCTTTTCACTTTTTAAGGCACTCTAGTGATCACTGCAGAAAGTTTGGATTAGTCCATTAAAAGACTAATGATTATTTCTACTATCTCACCTTTTATTTATATTTATCCTATCTTTTAATTGATTTTATTGTTCATTTTGTGTGTGTATGTGGTGCTGGGGATTAAACCCAGAGCCTTGTGCATGCGAGGCAAGCACTCTACCAACCGAGCTATATCCTCAGCCCTTATTGTGCATTTTTTATTTCATTTCCCCCCAGTGATAGTTTAGAATTTCAGCACCCCATTATTTTAGTGGTTATCTCAACGTATTATCATGCACATTTAACTTCCCATATACTAAAGTTTAAACAACGTACCATGTAGACATTGGAACACAATTTAAGCACACTCTGTCTAATGTACTTTTTTTTGGGGGGGGGGGGGTGTCCAGTGAAAGGGAAGGGGAAGGAGAGGTACTGGTATCTGAACTAAAGCATGATAAATTCCATGCTTTTATTTACTCTTCCTGCCCAGTGTTCTAGTTCAAGTTCAATCCCATTTTAAAATGTAAAAATTTGAAATTAATATTAAAATATATGGCCACTTTTTGTTTGGGTTTATATAAATGTTTATAATTTTATTTACTTGCCACTCCTTTTTGCATTTTAGACTACCCTTTGGGGAGCACTGTTTGTTATTGAGAAGTTTGACATTACTACAATTGTCTTTGCTTTATAGATGATCCATCCTGCCTTTCCATTCAAGAAAATTTGCAAACCATTATTTCTTCCAACATCACCTCTTCTCCATTCTCTTTATATTCTCTCCCTCTCCCTCTCCCTCTCCCTCTGTCTCTGAAATTCAGTTAGATGTATGTTAGACATTTTCCCGGTGTCTCTTAATGTCTTTTTCATATTTTCTTTATTTCTTGTTTCCTATTTTCTTTATATCTTTATTTCTCTAACCTACATTCTAGATAATTGGTTATATCTTTCAATTCCCTGAAATTCTCTTTAGCTATATCTGAACTCCTATTTAACTCATCCATTCATTAGTTTCTATGAATACTTACACTATTTTAGAAGTAATAGTCATTTGTCTATATTTTATCTTCATATCTATCTGTTCATACCTGCTCGTCTCTTATTGGGTACTTATCTTGCAATTGAATCTTTTATCATATAGCTATTTTATATTATGTATCTGATCATTGTAGCATCTGTTAGATCCTTGAGAATCTAAGTCTGTGCTATTTCTGATAGCTCTCACACATAGTAGCTTGACATACTATATTTTTGGTGATCTTTGATGTGAACTCTTTGATTGTTCTAGTCAATGGAAATCCTTTAGGCCTAAACTAAGAACTTTTCTCCTGAGAGAATTTCTTCTGTGTTCTGCCAGTTGCCATAGTGGGCCACTGATCTGAGTCATGGCTCCCTACAGAATCCTAGGTGCATCTTCTTTAACTTGCTGCTGGCCCAAGGTCCAGAATCCAGCTAGCAAGTATTGCTACTCTAGCAGGCATCCTTTCCAGTAAGCCCCTCCACCCTTAGTTCAGCACCAATCTGGATCCAGCTCACAGGATTCTTTTGTATGGAGGAAAGGACGGGGGTGAAAAATGAGAGGTGTTCTTAAAAATGTATACTCCTTTTGTGAGACCTATAACTCTTTTAAATTTTTTTTAGATGTAGATGGACACATTGTTTAATACTTTATTTTACTTATTTATTTTTATGTGGTGCTGAGGAAGAACCCAATGCCTCACATGCTAGGCAAGAGCTCTACTACTGAGCCACAGCCACAGCCCCAGAAACCTGTAACTCTTAAAGTAGGCCCCAGGTAGCATATCATTGTGAGAAAGTCTTTGAGTACCCAATCAGCCATGTTGGAATCAAAAATCCCCCAACTTTCATTTTAAATTTTATTATGACAGCATAGTACAATGAATGTCAACATATCCATGGCGGCACTACCTTCTTCTACTATTTGCCCTACTGCTTGCCCCCTAGATTATTTCAAAGCAACCTCAGGCATCTTATCATTTTATTTATATGCACCTTAGTATGTACCTCTAAAAAACACCCTAACTTTTTCATAATGAAGCCAGAGCAGTGTGTAAGTATGTGCATAATTTTTAAATAGGGAAGCCAAATTATAAATTACACTCTAAGTATTGTCTCTTTGTCACTTTTCCAGTTGAAGTATTATGGAAAGCCAAACTGCCCATCAAATTATTAAAGAAGATTAAATTATATTTAAGTTTAGTGTTATGTAGATGTCATTATATCATAATCCTTATGAAAGTGACCACCTTTTTCTCATATTTGGTAGATAATAATTGCAGCACACATTTACAGGGCACTTTCCATATGCCAAGAACAGTTCTAAGCCCTCCATAGGTATTAAATTCATTTAGTCCTCAAAACAGTCCAATGAGGTGGGTACCATTTTTATTGCCACTTTACAAAAGTGAAAAAAAAAAAAAAACTAGGGCATGGAGAGTTTTAGTAACTTACCCAAGATCTTAAAGCTCATAGGTGACTAAACTGGGGTGTGAACTCAGACAGGCTAGCTCCTGAAGCCCTTTTCAAACCACTATTCACACCACCTCTCTCAGAAAAAAAAAATAATAATCAGATTTCCATGGTCATCCATCGAAACTGTGCCTTCCACAAGTAGATTTTTGGTGAGCTGACTGCATGAGTTAAATAATTCTGCAGCAGCCAAACTTGTAACTGTTTCCAAAATATTGACCTTCAGTAGATAACTGAATTTTTTACATTACTGTCTTTGGACTTTATCATTATAAAGTCATATATCATTTCACATTTGTAATTTTGTGGACTCTTTTAGGTACACTTCATGTTGGTGATGAAATTCGGGAAATCAATGGCATCAGTGTGGCTAACCAAACAGTGGAACAGCTGCAAAAAATGCTTGTAAGTAAATGAGTTTCCTTTTCCTAAGACTTTCAGTTCATTATCTGTTATTTAATACACAAGAAATGGGTATTGGTTCATAATCACAGTATTTCTGGGCCTGTCATTTATGTGAGCTTTTCCAACATTCATAATAAATAACAACTAGGAAAATAAATGTAATCGAATTTGGAAACATTTTGCCTGCCTTTAGCACGTGGCTATAACACTCTGCTTTTATCCTTTATACACTTCTTACAAGCAGATATTTAAAAAAAAAAAAAAAAAAAAAACTTTCCAGTGTGTATTCATGTGAACTGGCTTCTCACTGACCTCAACTCTCCTGACATAAGCAATGTCAAAAACCTCTTTCCTGTTTAGCTGAGTCATAGCCAGCTGTAGTGGATTTCTCTGGGGCACAAAGGGGAGGAAAGTCACTGTAGACCAGGCATTTTGACTGTACTTATCCAAAATCTATGCTCAGATTAGACTTTGGAAGAAGAAGAAGCCGAATGGCTCTTGCCTAGATTCATTGTCATAATGAGCAGAAGGAGAGATTTTGGGCTTCTAGTCCCTCTTCCTACCGCAGTGTAGCAGCTCCCCATGTCATAAGTACCTGTTAAGTATGAAATAAGCACTGCAGATTCATTACAATAAAAAAGCCAAAATTAATAAAGTCAAAGGCAAATATTCTGGAGTATTCCACCACAGATAATATACCAAGTGGATTTTTATGTCATTCTTAGTTTAGTTCAATTTTGAGTCACTTTTGAAAATTATGTCATTTAGAGTGTTTTGTATTCATGTCTATAAAAAGATGTAATCATCAGATATCTGTGAGACCAGGGCTAGATTCAGAGCAATTGGCCTTGACTTTGCAAGGCTTTTTCCAGAAACTTCTACTATAAACTCAAACAGCCCATGGTTTTATAATTAGGTTTCATTTTAGGGCTGTGTGCTGACAGGTGGCTCGTGCTAATTGCTCCCACATGTTTTGAGTGGTTTCTTCTGTGTTTTGGTGTGCAACATTTACCGGTAAGAGAACTCTCCTTTTGTCCCTCCAGAGGGAAATGCGGGGGAGTATTACCTTCAAGATCGTGCCAAGCTACCGCACTCAGTCTTCGTCCTGTGAGGTAATGACTCTGACAAACCACCCCCATCTCCTGAGTTCCTAACTAACTGTCTGCTGATGGCTGAATGTTTTTGCTTTCTGGGAAATTGTTTCTGCCTGTGCTGTTAGATCACTGCACACCAATTTTACAACAAAGATAACGGAACAAAGGAGTTCCCATCCACCTACACAGCCCTGCTTTCATGTGGATCTCCTCAGCACTTGAACTTTTTGCAGGCTGAAATCTAAGCCAAATATAGAGAAGCTGCAAACAATGACATAAGGCCTGATAAAGAAAAAAATGGAGTCTCTGAGGAAAAAAAATAAGAAAGATCATAATTGCAGTAATATTTCCAGGAAGTACATTCACTTCCCTTGTTAAGAAATCACAGAGATAGTTCTTCTTTCCAAGAATCTGAGAAATATTATAGTTCTGTTGAGATAGAGTTGTTCAAATAGTTGTGACAGGTCTCAAGATAGATGCTGCAGTGGTAACTGACTTGGCTACAGGGATAGAGGCTCTTGCAACCTGGTGTAAAATTGTTTCTATTTGGAATGTTAAGTAATTTGTATGCAAGTAAGTTTTCTAGAGTAATACAACCCCAAAGTTTCTTCCTTAAAATAGGGTTGATCCTATAGAAATTGTAGTTCTTCCAACTATATTATTCAGGTTTATGTTGGTTATTAAGTAAGATTCCAAAATTTCTTCCTTTTCTAGTTGGAGATTTAAACTGGCATAGACAGTATCATTCTTTGGTATCATTCCACTGGGGTATTATATATTAAGCTTGCTCTTTCATGTGCATCTTCCAAGTATGTGTACATCTACATGAGGTACACATTTTCTAAAGTTAATTTTTGAAGGCTGGTGGGCAATTTCTTGGACTTGTATTTAGAAGAATTTGAGGGAGAAATTTTAATACTTCTTCCAGACTCTAGTTGATACTATTGGTTTCACAAAAAAATTAGAGCCTTTTTTCCAAACCTTTTCAAGGCATGCATAAGAATTTGTAGTTTTGTCAAGCATATTTTTAGTGAGCCATGACAGTTGGGGTGTCCATTATGTTGGGTCTTGAGCTCCTCTTGGTGGCTTCTTAGGGAACTTCAATTAACGGTAGATTACAAAAGAAAATGCAGAACTGCTTCTACTCCAGACTTCAGAGTATTGAAATTTGTTATCTAAAGCACAAACCTTGCCCAGAAAGAGAGAATATCACATGTACATTTTATGTTAATAATTTTAATAGTCTAAAATCTCAGGGGTTCCTGACACCATTTCTCATCTGTTGAATAAATTTAGTAAATATAATTGATTTTTTAAGCTAACTAACCAGAAGATATATTATAAGTTATTAATGTAACATAAGTTTGTCTTTTTTAAGTGGTTGAACTAGTTTTGGGGATGCAACCAGTAATTATACATGAAAATTCTATGCTCTTGAGTAAGGAGAAACTCCCTCTCACCTTCTTTACCTTTGAATAATAAAGAAAATAATGATACTCCTCTCCTAGCCCCACCCCAACTTTTTTGCCCCTCCTGTGGTCATACAGCCTTCAAGCATGCAACAGGACTCTTCCCATCCAGGACAAAACTTCCTAAAGAAAGGCTTTGGGGCCACCTGCATCTCCCAGGCCTTTAGTAAAAGAAGTAGACCTGCCCCTCCCCCTGCCCCTGCTGAATTGAGTCTCTAAGGGTAGCACCTGCAGACCAGCCTACTCACTAATATTTGAGAATGTCCCTCTAAAAGATCCGATTCCCTTTAAAGATAAAACGTTCCATAAGTTTTCTTCAAATCTTCTAGGAGAAAAACAAATGTCTTTTGAGCCAAAATACACATGTCAAAGGCTTAGAAGAACTCTACTAATCCAAAAAATTTAGAAGTACATATTTTCTTCCAATCCTTGTTCTTATGAAAGTTCATTTGGACACTAAGGGAAGGAAAGGATTTTGACTGTGTTGAATAGCAGAGAGCATGCAGGCAAGGAGTATGGAAGAGCAGCTGTGGCTTCTAGAATCTTGGCCAGAAGTAGAACATTGATATAGGCTCCAGATCATTGTTTTAATCAGTCTGCTAAAATGATACAAAGCAAAAGAGTTCTTCTTGGGTGTATATCTATCTTTTGCCCTTATCAGTAATAATTATTCTGGAAAGATACTAAGGTGATTATAACATGAGTTGTTCAGTAATTCTTGACACTGAGGTACCTACCAACTATCAGTGACCTTTCAAACCTAATCTTTAATAAAAATCAGGCAGTTGGAATCTTCAGCACAACAATTTCATAGTAATATTTGTTATCTCATGATACATGGTAGGATTTTAACATTGCATCACTCTGCCGGGTCTCATTAAAAGAAAGCAAAGATTTTAGAATGCAGTAGACAGGAAAGAAATGATTGATTCACGTATTGTAAGTCGCCACTTACAATATGTGAATCTCCAAACTGCAAAAATTTCGTTCATACTTCTATGAAATCATGCAAGTAAGTCAGTATGACAGCTTTATAGCTCAAACCTCAAAGGAAATGGTTGTCAGACTGTGGTTGTAACTATTAATGTAAATTTCTCTGTGTTTCTGTGCTGTTAATGAACCTTGTGTCTTATTTCAGAGAGATTCCCCCTCCACTTCCAGACAGTCCCCTGCTAATGGTCATAGCAGCACTAACAATTCTGTTTCGGTAAGAACTCTAGCTCCACACAGCAAAGTGTGACAATTTTGTTGGTGCTCACCTGCCATGAGTGTTCTAGTTACATGTGTTCAGTGGAAATATTGTCTCCTGCGGATATACAAGGCTACTACAGCTACAATGCAGTTTACTCCTGGAAAATCTTTTTAAACATTTCCTTTTCCTTAAAAATCCCATGCATTCGTTACCCAAAAAAAAGGACTGCTGTGGTCATTCTGAAATATCTCTATGCCACCCTACCAGGATGTGTGACTTTTCACAAATCTATGCAAAGGACCTAAGTGGAGATTTGTTTAAATTTCTAACATTTTTTTTAATTTGAGAAAAGATAAAGAAATGTAAGGATTTTGCAGAGGAGGCATTTGGGTGTTCTTGGGCTTTGTAGTTTTCCATTCTGAGGTATATCAGCAACATGTTTAGTTTCCGCTATCTAAGTTTACGAATTGGTGTGCCCTCTGTTATTGTGGTACGTGCACATATTTTGTGAATTATAAGCCTTGCCTGAATATGAAAAGCAAAAGGAACTGGCTTCAAACTGCACTTAAGCCACGCTGTTATCACATCTTTAACACAAAGTACTTTATATTTGACTTGAACACGGAAATTTTCCATTTTTTCCAAACCATCCATTTTGGAATACAGAAAGAATTGTTCTTAATTTATTTAAATAAGCAGAAGCACTTACAGGTGCAGGTTTGCAATCTTTTGGGGTAACCAAATCTTCTCTAAGTTGCTGATGCTGCTGTCTGTCACCCAGTTGAAATTATCAAATAGTTCTGAGAATGCAGCAGTATTTTTAACTGATATTTAACTTGCCTGTAAATATTATATCAACTTTTTGTCGAGGAAAATTGTAAATAATTTCAAAATCATCTCAAATGGAATGATATTCTAAGTATGTCAATAACCGAAATTCTGGAAGAAAATTGTCCTAGACTTTATTTCCAATTTTAAAATAGGCTACCAAAGGAACTCATTTATAACACTTAATGTTGAATGCTTTTAAGATGGTGGAAATCCATATAGCCATTGAATTTTTCTAAATCTAAATGGTTGCAGTGACTAAGTTGAAAAGGGCAATAGCTCTTTTTAGTTTGGGGTGGTTTTTTAAAAATATATATATAGGCTATTTCACTTGCAGTGGCTTTTGTGTTGAAGATGCTGAGTTGGTTCTTAAGAACACATTTTCTCTCTGCTTCAACTTACCTGCTTTCTTCAGCTTGCTGCTAAATGGCCTGGGTTTGATTTTTTTGATAACTCAACATTTCTGAGAACTGAAATAATGTATATGATCTCTTTACAACTTAAATCTAGCTCATTTTTTAACCATATTGTAACAGAACACACAAATTACCTTGTGCTCTTGACAAGTAAATGAAAATTTTTCTCCTGGGTTGGCTTTATTCTACAGGACTTGCCATCAACTACCCAACCAAAAGGACGACAGGTGAATAGATATCCTCTATAGAAACTTCTCTAAACTGAGCTGCTAATAGCCAATCCTTTATTAACCCTTTCCATCCCATAATGTCTGCATTTTGGACCATAACATTTGAGCGTTGAGAGCTTGTACCATTTCATTTTAACACATTACACGTGACTAATTCTCTATAAAGATTTTCTCCTCACATCTTTGTAGCTGTGATGGTTATTGTAATTTCAACCTGATAATTTTGACTTCAGCCCTGAAGGGTCTTATGTGCTGGCTCTGGGGTGGAAAAGAATTTTAAAGGTTATAAAATCCATAAAATTCTAAAAATAACCAAAAGATACATGCTGATGAACATTTTTAAACAATTTTCTGAAGTTGAAAGCTTTTTCTTAACATTTTGTATTTGCATGTGAATTTCTAAAAACCATTTACAGTTAAAAATAAGAGAAAGAGGATAAACATCCTGGCTTTACATCCTAATATACCTGCATTCATTTAAATATGAATAGTTAAGTGCTGTCTAACACTACCAAGTAACTTTCAGATTGCCAGCACTTTTAAAATATGGGTTTAGGTGAAATACAGAAAATCGTTAATTTTATAGGCTGGATTGCTAAAAATAAACAGAAAAAAAAATTATACAATGGTTCCAAAGCCTTCAGGTTGGTTTTACAGTGACTTAAACATTAATATTCAAATTTAATTTCAAGAGATAGACTTTTTATGAAATTATTTCTTAAAATGTGGTGTTAAAAATAATTCAAATTGAATTCAGAATTGCATAAATTGGCACTTGATAGAATTCATCCACAGTTTAGTCCTAAGACTGTGTAACATTAGTTTATAGTACCTTATTTTAAAGCATTTAGAAATCATAAAATGCTGCCATATTATAACCCTTGGATGTTTTGCTAAGTAAATTCATATCCTAAAACTCAGAGCTTTGAACTAGACATATCCTGAAGTTCTGTGACGATTCCAAGTGTTATGTTGGCAAAACTAGGGTTCAAATTTATTTTTCATTCTCTCAGAAGAGTAAAACACAAGTATAAAGCCTAAATCCTTTTTTAACTGACTTTTTAAAAAATTGCTTGAGTTACATTTAAGTTTATTAGCAGTGTACCCACTGCCAGTTGTCATGTACACCTTGATTTTCAAGTCACCAGCCCAAAGTTCTTGCTAGTTTTATATAATGTGCTGCTTTAGGGTTAAGACTTACCCTGACTGCTAGTCTTTATGGCTCAAAGGCTGCCATGTTGTCATGACAACTTATCCATGACGTCAACATAACCACTGTAGGTTTAAAAAGTGATAAGCATGCTTCTCTGTAATTACAGACCTATTCTGTTATACTAAAAGCAGAAAGAAGTATTTATTTTAATTAATGAGTATTTTAAGTGCTCCTTCCAAATAAAAACAGCAAAGTTTTGAACCCTTACACATCAAAGGCAGTACATTGTTTATAGTGGTGTAGAAAAGTCTTTTGTGTCGTATATCCATGCATCGTTTTTGCTTTCCCCATCTTCTGTCCTATTTGTACTGTAAGTGTTGGTGTGTGGTTATTAGATTAGAGCTTATTGTTTTCCTTCACATCACTATGGCCTCCTTTCTTACAAACTCCTATTTTATAGATCTATGTAAGAGCACAATTTGAATATGATCCAGCCAAGGATGACCTCATCCCCTGCAAAGAAGCTGGCATTCGATTCAGAGTTGGTGACATCATCCAAATTATTAGTAAGGATGATCACAACTGGTGGCAGGGTAAACTGGAAAACTCCAAAAATGGAACCGCAGGCCTCATCCCTTCTCCTGAACTTCAGGAATGGTATGCTTTTGTTGTTTTATAATAAAAATGAAACCCTGCCTTTCCAGTGTTCAACTTTATGTTATTTCATATTGCAAAATCTCTTTGATACATACCTTGCTTTGCTAGCCAGACAAAATCCAAAATCAGCCATCCAAGAATTCTAAGTCCTCAGCAGACGGCAGTTTTATGTATAAGCCAAAGAAGGGCTAGAGCAGTTGAGTTACAGGCCTGGGATCACAGGATCACACCAGCGGAGCCCTCCACTCTCATAAGCTGTTGCAATTCCTTTAGAGTGGCATTTTCTTACAAATATACCTCCTCCTTGCTCCTCTCTCATGCCCACAGGGCCCCATCACCAGCAAACAACCCACACGCCCTGATTCAGTATCACCCAGGCATTTTTTTTTTTCACTCAGGGCATTTAAAAATAAAAATGTTTTACTGCTGGAAGAGAGGCAGCCAGAAGCTTCTTTCTTTGCCTTACCATTCTTTAAAAATGCCTTTTATGAGCTAGGGATGTGGCTGTATGGTATAGAGCACTTGCCTGGCATGCAAAAGGCCCTGGATTTCATCCCAAGCACCAAACAAAGGAAGGAAGGAGGAAGGCTCTGAAAGCAGGGTAATGTCAGACAAGGTTGTCAGACCCTGTTTTAACTGAGAAGAGACATGGATCAGTTTATATTTTAGTAAAATCTGTTTCTGCTATCATTGCTCTAGTTTGTGCAAATGATTTTTTTTAATGTTCATGGTCTTAGCTTTGTTGGTACTTGGGCAATTTCTACCAGAAATCTAGTTCAAAAGAAATAACCCAATGTCTGGGTTTTGTTTCATGTAACAAAAAATAACAACCATAAGCAGTCTGCTAAGACCCCCACAAAAAAATTTTTTTGAACTTAGTTAAAAGAAGCCAAAGTGCATAGACATATTTAATGACTTTTTCACCCATTTTTCTCAATAATTAAGAACTTTCTCAACTGTGTGCAGTGATGCCCCTCTGTATTCCCAGCTTCTTGGAAGGTTTAGCAGAAGGATTGTGAGTTCAAGGCCAGCCTCAGTAATTTAGCTGGACACTATCTCAAAATGAAAAGGACTGGGGATGTGGCTTCATGGGAGAGCACTTGCCTAGAATGTGTGAGGCCCTGGGATCAATCCCCAGTGTAGGAAAAAAAAAAGAGAGTGCTTTCTCAGTTATCTTAGTTAATCTCTTCTACTTGTTCGCCTCTTTCAGCTATCCCATGTTTCCCAAAAATATTCTTAAATTTAGAATGCTGGAGCTGATGAGGACTTCAGATGCCATCATTTTTCACATGAGGATATGTGGGCCCAGACAAGCAGCAGCCTTACTTCCATCTGGCCTTGTCTTTCACTCTGATCTTCAAGAAACAGTTTAGCATAAACCAGAGGAAAGCGATTCTAAATCACTTTGATGATGCTTCTGTTATGCTTTTAACAGAGATTTACATTCTACAAAATGTTTTCCTGAGTGTTGCCATATATTATGAACATTTATCAAAAATAATTATGTAGATCCCAAACCTCTTCTCCCTAATGAGATCATCTATTAAAAAAAAAATCATGTCCCACTAATATCTAGAACTTGGAATCCTCTGAAGGAATCCTGAGAAATGTCAGTGGAAAAAGCAGATTTGCTTACTTTTTCCCATAATGGTGGACTAGGTTATTTGGATTAATCTTCCTGCTGAAAAAAAAATGAAAAGTGCTGCAGAAAATATGTTTTTTAAAAAGGCCTTGAACGCACTGAATAGTTGAAAAGGTATTAGAGAACTCAGTGAACAATTTTTTCTATGAAAGCTTTTAATCAGAATGATAAGCAGAAATTTGAAATGCCCAAATTGGTGTATTTTCCCAGGAGGGGCATTTGCCCTTACTGAACACTTCTATGCCAGAGGACCAAGGTTAAGCCCTGCAGCCTAAACAAGTTGAGGAATCTGTTAAGAGACCCTCCCCATAGTATTAGGACTATAAAAGGTGATACCTCCAAGTTAAAAGTAAACAGCAGAGCCTTACTCCTCTTTAACCAGGGAACTATAGAGATGGCTGCTTTGTCACTGAGCAAAGCAAAAGGCGAAAGTAAAGAGGAAACAAACTCCACCAGTCCACCTTGAATGAATTGAGACCAAGGTGCATCTAGTCTGGGGCAGCCAGGGAAACCCAAGCCATGTATTTGGTTTGAAGTTTCCATTTTCCTTATTAATAGTCCCACATATCTGATATAAACAAAAAGAAAGTCTGTAAAAAAAGAACATTTTCATCTTAACCCCACAACCTCATCCTAACGCCCTACATTAACTTTTTTCAGGGCAGTGACCGGCAAGTCCAAGTCACCAAGCACACAAGGAAACAAGCAAGACCCAAAAGAAATGACAGTAAAGACAAACTCAAACCCACTTGGTATATTGAATTAGAAGACAAATATTTTAAAATCAGCATTACCAAGTTTTAAAATATTCAACAATGAGCTTGAAAAAATTATCTCTAGGGAACAGAAAAAATATAAATGACATGACATATTTGAAAAAGAACCAAAAGAACTTTCAAGGGGGGTGGAGTATACAGTAACAATATTAAAATCTCAGGACCACACATCTATTAAAATGACTTTAAAATGTTCCACCACGTGAATGGATTAAAAAAGTGATGACACAGTTGTACAAATGGAATGCCACCCAGTATAAAAAGGAATAAACCATTGATACAATAGTAGGGATGAAACTCAAAAGTATTCTACTGAGCAAAAGAATCGAGGCAAAAAAGAGGACATTCTATATGATTCCATTTACATAACCTTTTGGAGAATGTAAACTAATCTATAGAAATAATGGTTGCCTAGCACATAGGGATGGGGATGGAGAGAAGAAGGGATTTCAGAGGAGCCTGCCACAATTCCAGGGGTAATGAAAATGTTCATCTTGATTGCAATGATGGTTTCATGGGATCTATACATAACATCAAAAACTGATGAAATTGTCCATTTTAAATATGTTCAGTTTTGAAAAATTAATGAACTAGATTAAAGTTGTAAAATTTAATAGGAAGGAGATAGGAACTCTGACCAGGATGATGAGGAAGAAACCCACTGGATGGTATGTCCCTTAAGATCTGATTAGGACTTTAGGGGATACAGGAAGCCATTCTTGAATGGCTCAAGAGAAAAAGCAGCTTCCCTCTATTGAGAAAGGGAATTGGGCTCTAAAATGTCAGTGTGCATGAAATACTTACCAGAAAGATTTGAAACAGTATCATCAGCCAGACCTAGAAGTTTTATTCAAATGTATTGCTACCAAGTCACATTTTTCACATCTGCTAGATGAGAAATCAAATTTTTTGACCCAAATGTCCTTCTATAGTCACATCAATGTAGGTCTTTAATATGTTTGGGTCTCTGAATCGGTCATCTCTACCCTTGCCTATGAACAAAGGTACCAATAAAATTAACAGGTGTATCACATATTTCTTTTTTTTTTCCTGAATGGCATTCCCCTATATGAAATTTTTAAAAGTCATCCTAACAGGTGTGTGGCCACTGAGATTTTAATTCTGATAATAAAGTTGACATCAGTCACAAAGCTGTATTTGAAATTTCCCTCCATGTTGACCTTAATCCTAACACAGTTTCTATGCACTGACTGAGCTAAAGAATTGCCATTGATTTCCTGAGTGGCTGGTTAAAAAGTCACTTTCATTCCTCTATCATACCACACATGACCACACCACTGACTTTTACTGGGAACTTGTTATTGTAAAATACTATGTACTTGATGACATAGGCTTCACAAGGTCAAGGGTTGTCTTTTTTTAACTTGTCAAAAAAAATCCTTAATTCTGTTCATGTTTCCAATAATCTTGTGCCTCAGAGAAGCTATAATTAATTGAGACTATAGTATATTTTGACTTGTGCCAAAAGAATCTCCAAAGTGAAGATCTCATCAGTCTCCTCAGTATGCCACAAAGGTAATATATGGAGATTGACTGTGATGCTATCACTGATAGGTCACAGTGTTTCCCAGTAAATGTCTTCTCCCCAAACAAAAATAAATAGAAACCTCAGTGAACAAGAAAGGCTAAGAGGCATGGAGAAAAATATCTTTAAGAAAATAGAGAAGAATACCTCCAACTCATTTTATGATGCCATTATTACCCCAAAACCAAAATTAAATAAAGGCAGTTCAAGAAAACTACATCCCAGCCAGGCATGGTGGCACAGATCTGTAATCCTAGCAGCTCATGAGGCTGAGGCAGGAGGATCACAAGTTCAAAACCAGCCTCAGAAACTAAACAAGTCTCTAAGCAACTTAGTGAGACCCTGTCTCAAAATAAAAAGGGCTATGGATGTTGCTCAGTGATAAAGCACCCCTGGGTTCAATCCCCAGTACAGAAAGAAAGAAAACTACATACCAGTATTCAACATGAACACAAATACAGTTCTCAACAAAATTATTAGCAAGTTGAGTCCAGCAATATATAAAAAGGACAAAGCATCATGACCCAGTGGAATTTATACTGGGAGTAAGTGGCTGTTTTGACATATGAAAACCAATCAGCCTGATCCGCCTATTAACAGACTAAAGAAATGATATGTGGTCATATCAATAGATAGAGAAAAAAATTCTGATAAAATTCAACACCCAATCCTAATTAAAACTCCCACAAACCATGAATTGAAGGGGACCTCCTTAACCTGATATAGGACATCTACAGGAAACCTACAATAAACATTATTGGAAAAGGAAAAATTTTTCAGATGTTGTGATTCATAGAAATTCAAAGGAATCTATAGATAAACAATTAGAATTAATATGACAGTTCAGCAAGTTTGCTGATATAAAATCAATATTTAAAAAATTGATTCTAGGAAGAAACTGAAATAAAACTGACCAAATTATGTCATGTACATATATGAATATATCACAGTAAGTTTCACTTTAATGTATAACTATAATGTACTAACTTTAAAATAAATAAATAAATAGAAGTCCAGTAGAGTAGTTTAAAGGGGGGATCATGGGGAGGGAGGCTGGGAGGGAAAGAGTAAGTACTAAGGATTAAAATGGAGCAAATTATGTTGTATGCATCTATGAATATGTCAAAATAAACCCCATTGTTGTATATAATTAACTAATAAAAACACTTAAAAATATAAAAATCAATTCCACTTCTATTTACCAGACACAAACAGAAAGTAAAACTTTTAAACGATGCCATACATAATACCACCTGCTACACCATGATGCTCTAAAAAAAATTGACCCTGAATCTTATTAGGTCTCTAGATTAATTACCCATATTCAAGAAATGAAAATGGTAAAGGAACATAAGATATCACAGAGATACAATTTTAAAAAATCAAATAAGTTATGAGTAATAATTGTTGAAGTTGTGCTGTATGTATCTGAGGTTCATTTCATTATATTCTCATATGTGTTTGAAATTTTCATCATTACAAAGTAGTTTTTAAATACCATTTACAAAGGCTTGTTTGTTTGTTTAAATCAGTAAACCTGGAAACAAATCTGACAAAGGTATTTGAGAAATTTATAGAAAAAAATTATAAAATGTATTGAAACATTAAGGAAAACAGAAAGACATATTGTGTTCATGAACTGAAAGATTTAATATTGTAGAAAATCTATTCCTCCCATATTGATTTTATGGATTCAGTGCAACCTCAGCCAAAATCCCAACAGTTTTGAAATTGACAATCTAACTTTAAAGTTTACATGGAAATACATTTGTTAAGGAGTAACCAAGATGTTCTTGAAGAATGAGTAAGGATGTCTTGCTCCATTAGATTCTAAGACTACTTATAAAGCTTTAGTAGTTAAGATAATCAGGTATTGTGGGGCATGATGGTGCATGCCTGTAATCTTAGCAGCTCAGGAGGCTGAGGCAGAAGGATCCCAAGTTCAAAGCCAGCTTCAGCGACTTAGCAAGGCCCTAAGCAACTTAGTGAGACTCTGTCTCAAAATAAAAATAAAAAGGGCCAAGGATATGGCTCAGTGTTTAAGCACCCTTGGGTTTAATCCCTGGTACAAAAAAAAAAAAATTAAAGATAATCCAGTGTAAATTTAAGGATGCTCCAATAGACCAGATGAAAAGAATAGCGAACCCCCAAACACTCCCATACACAAATGGGCACTTGATATATGACAGAAATAGCATTGCAAAGCAGTCTGAAATGGACGGACTTTTCAGTAAGTTGTGCTGGGATAATTGGGTATCTGTTAGGGAGAAAAAGAAGAAAGAAGCTAGACCCCTGCTTCACACAAACAGCAAAACTCAGTTCCTTTACATTAAAAACCAAATCATGAAAAATAAAACTATAAACTTTGAGAGGGTAATATTGGAAAATATCTTCAAAGACTAGGAAGGATTTCTTAAAATATCAAAAATACTTCTCATTAAAGGAAAGATTGATAAATTTAACTAAATTAAAGCTAATAATATGTGTTCATTAGAAGATACCATAAAAAAATAAAGAAGCAATCCATAGAGTAGGAGAAGGTATCTGCAATGCGTAGAACTAACAAAGGTATAATATCCAAATCAGGAAAATAATCAAGACATTTAAGCAGACACTTTACAAAAGAAGAAATCCAGGGGTGCTCAGTCTCATTACTAATCAGTTAAATGTAAACTAAAACACAGTGGTATTATGTTGCTTATCCACCATGATGATAGAATTAAAGACTAATAATACCAAATGTTTCCAAGGAAGTAGAACAGTAGGAACTCTCATACACTGCTAGTGGGAGTGTACATCATCAGTACAACCCCACTGGAAAATAACTTCACATTTACAATAGTACCATATGGCATTCTGATAGTGATTTTGGATTTTCCTTCTATATAACTCATTCAGGGACTCCTGATTGATCCATAAGTAAAATCATTAAGAGTAAAATCTATGGCAACATCCTAAAAAAAAAAAAAAAGGCAAGTATCTGCATAGACTAAACCTAAGAGAGCAATTTTTTAACATCTCTGCCTATGTTACCAATGCTGCATACTATAATCAAGTAGACCAAAATTATAATTTTCTGCTTATAATTATAATAATTTAATTATAACACTTTTTTTTTTCTATCTTGGACTAAGCCTGGTTGTGCAGGCTGGGCTCAATTATGCATACCTGTAATCCTAGGGACTTCACTTGGGAGGCTGAGGCAGGAGGATCACAAGTTTAAAAGCCAGCATCAGCAACTTAGCAAGGCCCTAAGCATCTTAGCCAGACCCTATCTTAAAATAAAAAATAAAAGGGGCTGGGGATGTGGATCAGTGGTACAGCACTCCTAGGTTCAGTCCCTGGTACTGCAAAAAGAAAAAAAGAATTGTCATGCAGTAGTAATACCATTTACTAAATAAACATCTACTGTGTGCCTGGCACTGAGGTAGGGACATTTACCTTTTGTCTTCTAATTCTTTATAACAGCCCCTGAGAAACTCCAAGAGATTAAAGACCTTACTGATAGAATGTTCTGGCTGAGGTCATGGGCTTGGGTGCCAGACTCTCCCTACTTTGACAGGATGTAAAGTTACAATCTAGCTGTGTAATTTCAGGCAAATTGCTTAGCCTCTCAATCCTTCAATATCTCTTCATCTGTAGAATGGTGACACAATTCTGTTTGTCATTAGAAAGATTGAGTTAATATATGTAAAATTCCTAGAAAAGTGCCTAACACTAAGTACTCAATACCAGCTAATGAGTGGCAAAGCCAGGGTTCAAAAGAGGCCTGTCTCTACTCAGAATCCCATGATCATTCTCATAGCCACAAGTTTAAGTTCCTGATGTGTGTTATCAGTGATGTATGTTCAAGAAATGCAATGCCATTTTAACATAAGCCTATGCTGTTTAAACATTTCTAAGGAATCATCATGCAAACCAAAAAGCAGTCTTTTGTGAGTGATTTGAAAGACTAAAATGAGTGTGTTCATGCTTTTTCATGTAAACTCTTCAAATGAATCATCTTTCTCTTTTATACATTAATATATATTAATGTATACATTAATTTTGGTGGGTTTTTCCCCCTCCTTTGTGTACTAGGCGAGTAGCTTGCATTGCAATGGAGAAGACCAAACAGGAGCAGCAGGCCAGCTGTACTTGGTTTGGCAAGAAAAAGAAGCAGTACAAAGATAAATATTTGGCAAAGCACAATGCAGGTAGGGAAAAGTACATCGGTTCCTGAGGCTGGGTTAAACATCTCCAAGACCAATGTAGATGTAACATTTCCATTTGGTCTTCAGAGTTTATCCAAAACATTCCACCCTGTGAGACTGTCACCAACTTGCAAAACCATGAAGAAAACTCTGCCTCCGATTAATATGTTGGTGATTAACAATATATTTTACAAAGTTGAACTTTATTGGATAGAAATGCTATTGGGAAATACTGTATTCGGGGATGTCAACAAGTTAAGTCCTCCCCTGAGAAATGGGAGCTTGAGAGTTTGCCAAGACCCCAGGATTCTTACCTCCCTTGGCCTTGATCAGATAACCCTCCCTCCTGGCTTCCTCCCTGGTGCTTGGACATGGCCCCATGACAGATATCTAAGGGCAAAGGTGCACGCACAAGCTGTGCTGCAAAAGGTTGAGTGCTTGGTTTGAAAGGGCGCAGATGACATAGGTACTAACTTGGTTTAGTCCGTTTCTGTGAGTAGTCTTCTCCTTCATGGCATTTCCAAGCTCCCAAAAAATCAAAGACATTATCTTGGCCTTCCCTTCATAGTTTGTTTGTCTATATGGAAGCTTGTGTGCAACGTAAGTCAAAATGTTCACTTGTTTTGTTAAAAACTGAAATGAATACCAAGAAAGCATGATCTGTTATTGCAAGAGAATTCCCAGAAGACTCGCAGGATGTAGCTTAAGCGAAAAGAAAATACATAATGATACAGTTATTTTCAATGATTCCTTAAAATGACTCCTTTTGTAAGGAACTTTTTCTGAGGAATTAAGAGCCCTGACACTGGCATTAGATGGGTTCCCAAGGTTTCAGAAAGAACTCCAAAAATCAAATGTGACCCAAAAAAATCAAGCAAATCCAAACACACATACTCAATCCAACAACATAATATAATTAATTGGACAAATATGAAAAGCTTCTTTCTCTGTAGAATGTTCTAACATTCACTAGGAAAAAATATTTAAGAATTCTCAATTTTCATTTCTGAATCAGAAATTAAAATAAACATTTTGAAATGCTGTATGATACAAGATGAATGTGAATGGCCACATAGTTTTAAGTTCAAATGGTAGTGTTAAATGGGAAGTCCTTCTTTCCGGATTAATTACATTGTGCCACATTTTTATTTCTGATAAAATGTATCTTTTATTTCTGATTATGTACTACTACAGAGCACTCCTCTCATAATGACTTTTTGTTTTGTTTTATAAAGAGAAGAAATACTTAAAGCAGACTAGTTAAATGCAGTCTAGCCACTATTAATTGGAAATTCTCAAGTAGTATGCTTTGAAAAAATGCAATGCAGTATCAGCAGAGTGTTGCTCAACCTAAGATGTCAGCAGTTTTTTGCCAAGTGTCCTTAGTTGTTTTTATTTCTGCCAGCACAATCTAACAGGCTCACAAGAAAACATACTGACATTATCTAAATACTCAAAAAAATTATCTTAATTTGAAAAATTTACAATATTAAATGACACATAGACATAGATGGTATTGAAATCAATTTAAACCTAGAAAACAACAAAGAAATGGCTGGTTAAAGGCTGTCAGTGCATCATTAGTTTTATACTGTACTAATGGAGGGCCCATAGACATGAGTGTTCAATTTGCCAATATTCTTGAATTCAGCTATGAGGAAAAATAAGCAAATCCATTGAAAAACTAGGTCTTTCTAAATGATGATAAAGAATTAACCCAATCAATCATGCATTAAAGAATTTTGCCAGAGAATCAGCATCCAGTCTGGCAGCCAGTATTTTCTGTGGTTCACTTTTTCTGTTCTTTGAGCACCGGGACATCACTAGTCTCTTCTGTTGTCTTAATTCTCTGATTCCTAACGGATGGAGCACACTGGTCCTGCAAATACATCTGTAAGCTTAATAGGCAGCCTGAGATAGGACCAGAAATCAGCACACCTGAGTAACCATGGGACTCGGGCAAATCACTTATGCTTATAATCCCAGCAGCTCGGGAGGCTGAGGCAGGAGGATCAGGAGTTTAAGGCCAGCCTCGGCAATTCAGTGAGACCCTGTCTCTAGATAAGATATTTTTTTTTAAAAAATGGCTGGGGGGGCTAGGGTTGTGTCTCAGCAATAGAGCACTAGCCTGGCACATGCAAGGCTCTGGGTTCAATCCTCAGCACCACATAAAAAAATTAAATAATTTTTTTTAAAAAAGCATTGTGTCCAACTACAAAAAAAAAATGACTGGGGATGTGGCTCAGTGGTTGAACGCCCCCCCAGGTTCATTCCCCAGTACCAAAAAACAAACAAGGGAATTCAGCTAATCAATCAAGACAATCTTTTTCTAATTCTCAAATTCAGTGTTCTTTCACCACGTGGCCTGCCACATGGGTATCATTTAAGGAAGCTTAGTACTCTATCCCACAGCAGGCTTTGGCTCTTTGGTAGATCATTGCCTGTCAAGGTTAAAAGATTTCACCCTTGATACAGAAGGCAGGAGCCTAATGGGTAGAACAGAAGTGGTTTTTCCTCTGTCTTTACATCTGTCCCAAACCATTGACCTATCTAAGTTCTTGGAAACTCAAAATGAAGATAAAGCGAGGGCAAGTGGGGATGGGGACCTACTTCAACCACTTATTTGTTATCTTCAGTGTTTTCCTAACTAAGGATCTCTTCTGAGCATCAGAGCCGAATCAATCCCTTGCTTAAGTGAGTGTTCTGCCTGTCAGTACTTTTCTCTGCATGTGAACCCTCTTGGGAAATGAAGTCTGAGCTCCTTAGAAGGTTCTTGCAGAGCTCCTTAAACAATGCTTTTCTCTAATGGCATAGAAATCAGCGCGGGAAGGGGGATTATTTTTTGCCTTCTGAACCATTTAGAGCATTTGTTCTTATATTGTGATCCGCTGTCCTCTAGCAGCCTGAGAAATCTCTCTGAGTGTCACAGAAGCTAGACCTGTGTAAGCTTTTTGCTAAACTATGACATATTACTGCTTTCACCTCTAATATGAAATGATAATTGACCTTTAAGTACCAATAAAATGTAGACCAAGGGGGAAAAAAAGTTTCTTTGTGTTTAGGTTTATCTGTGATTCTCTAGTCAGAATATCATTGTTAGGGTTCTCTCACCTGCAAAATAATCTGTCAAGCTCTCCTTTCAGTTTCTCTGGTCAGGAGAAATGGTCAGCTATTTTCTTGCACTTTCTGGATTATTCTGCCTGACAAAGCCTAGCGTTTCTTTCTGTTACCATTTCTTTAGATTTCTTCTGCTTCACCAACCAACTCTTCCATTTCCTGAGGGATTGCTATTACTCTACAAGACATCAGATTGTCAGGAAGGGAATTTGGGCATCTTATCAGCTCTTCTGCTTTTAGCCATAATGAAATTTCATCCTAACATACAGAATTGCCCTAAAAGAGTGAGAAGCAAATACTATTGACCTCCATTAATAAGGCAGATACATAGAAACATCAAAAAATTGGAAATATAATCTTTCATACTGAAAACGAGCCAGATGAGCTCATGGGCACACATCAAACTATATTTGCAGAGGATTTTTCTGGCTTTTTCAGAAATTGAATGAAACACAATATGCCCTTTGTTCTTCCTGTAGTACTTAGCAAATAAGAGTAGTATGTTTTGTTTCATAATCCGAATGTTTGAGAATTGATCATATATCGACAGCAAGAGCCAAGCCTTATCATCAAATTTTGAAATTGTTTATATTTGTGGTAAAAATAAAGGATTCAGACTGTCAGTAGATAAAACTTATGGAAACAATAATACCAGAATTATTTCCATTTCTGTCACTAGGAAATGCTATTATTTAGTTAAAACCAAATTCTGCTCATCTGTGTGGCCTACATCTCACATCATAAAGTGGCAGCCTATTTGTTAGTCAATTTGAACCCATAAATAAGTTTTGTCTCTCACACACAGTGTTTAAAACAATTTTATAAGTTATCACATTTGAAAGTCAGATTATTCAATATAAAACTCTGGATTTAGACTTCCCTTGGAATGCAGAACAGTGAGCTACTTCCTTTCTTAAGGACTCTGGGCCGTCAATGGCCCTTTTGGATGGACACTTACTCTCCAGCGCCCGCCAACCCCACAATCCCCTGTTTTTGTGTCTGGCCCACTTCATTTAACCACATTAGTTTCCTGGCCACTGCAGGCATTCGAGTGTACACTCCATGGCCTGATGCGACCAGTATGCAATGCCCTTTTTTAAATGGAGATTTGTATAGTCTTTGAAGATATCTGCAGCTTTTCAAACTGAGACAAGGATTCAATGCTAACAGCTTTTTTTTAATGGAAAAGATTCAACTGGAAAGTAATTACCAGAAACTTAAAAGAAGTGTCTGGAATGTTGAGTAACCTACCAGGAAATCAGAGAAATATAAGTAAACTATGCCAGAAAGTATTTCTGAATCCTTGGGAAAAAAATTTGATTATGGTATGTGTAGTGTTTACAGCAAATACATTTTCTGCAACACGTAAAGATTTTTAGCCACATTCATTCGGTGCAAAAAGCATTGTCGTGCTGCTAGAATTGCACCCCTAAAACTTCCAAAAGTAAATTTTAGATCAAGTTACTAATGTGAACTTTTTTTAAAATTACAAAGTCTTCACGTCAAGTACAGTAGCTTGCACCTGTAATCCCAGCAACTCTGGAGGCTAAGGCAAAAGGATCACAAGTTCAAGGCCAGCCTCAACAAATTAGGGAGACCCTGTTGCAAAATAAGCACTAAAAAGGGCCGAGGATATAGCTTAGTGGTAGAGTGTCCCTGGGTTCAATCACCAGTACAAAGGAAGGAAGAAAGAAAGCCCTCATTCATTCATTTTTAAGTGACAGATCCCTGAGCCAGTGATATTTGAATATCCTAAAATATGCTATTATATACATACATATGAACTGAGAGCATCTCTACAATACCATTCATAAGTATGTTTAAATTATGCTTAGTGCTACAAATTACTGCTGTTTACTTTTAAAAGTAAAAGTACTTTACTTTTATGCTTTTTGTTTTCTTGAGTACATAGAACTCTAAAGACAAAATAGTGGCCTCTGGCCTTGCCACCCTAGGGCATTATTTTTAATACTGAAAGTATTAAAAATAATAATAATGATGATGATGGAAATATTACTCAGCAGACAATAGGTATAAAAAATGATGCCATAAGCACTCCTGCTTTCATTTTGCAGCTCTCATGACTCCATTACCACTGCAGCTCAGTGGTAGAGCACTTTCCTAGCATGTGCTAGGGTTCCATCCCCAGAGCTGGCAAAAATTAATAATAATAGTAATAGGCATGCACAATTAGAAATTGCAAACAGTACAGGAAGGTGCAAAACAAAAAACAAAAGACTTCCACACCTACGCGCTCTAAAAAGAGTGTCTTGTAAATTCCCATGTAAAATTTCAACCCCAGATGCTAGTATATGAAATCCATTGGCTTTTATATAAGGATATGATTAAATTTTTATTAAAATGAGTTTGTTTCTTAATGTGATTGATTTGCCTTGTGTTTAGAATATTGCATGATAAAGTTTATTTTGTGCATATTATACTTTTATTTTACTAATATATGAAAAGCCATATTTCAATGACCCCTGTACATTTTTCATGCTGTCTCACTCCCAATGGCCTCTGTGCATGTAAGTAACCTGTTGAATGACTATGCCTCTGTGTTTTTGGTGGTTTCATTTTTTTTTTCAATCAACAAGCAACTTAAAACCTTTAAAAGTTCAATCTTTAAGTACGCTCCTAATATTCCTTGTATCTCTTATGTTTCAATATCCTTTCTTATTGCTTTGCAACCCTATGACCACGTGATGATTTCATTTAGAGCAAAGTAACCCCTTCATGTTACTCGTTCATGGTTAAGATGCTGATGTTTAACCTATCTGTTCATTTCGTGGTGTTGATTGTTGATATCTAACACATTCTTGGTGTTTTTAAAAACTGACATCTTAATCCAGTAGGACCAGAGTCAGGGCTCTGTAGAGGGAGGGGATGTGTTTACCATTCAGAATGCTTGTGTCATCATCATCTTGATCTTTCATGAGAGACTTGATTCTTTTTACACACTAAAACATATCAGCTGGGCATGGTGGCGCATGCCTGTCGTCCCAGCAGCTTGGGAGGCTGAGGCAGGAGGATTGCAAGTTCAAGGCCAGCCTCAGCAACTTAGCGAGGCCCTAAGCAACTTAGGTGAGACCCTGTCTCGAAATAAAAAATAAAAAGGGCTGGGGATATAGCTCAGTGGTTAAGTGTCCCTGGGCTCAATCCACAGTACCTAAATAAATAAATAAATCAGCCAATTGATGTACTTGTTCCACAAGCATGCTTTTTCTTGATGGAAATATTACTCAGCAGACAATAGGTACAAAAAATGATGCCATAAGCACTCCTGCTTTCATTTTGCAGCTCTCATCACTCCATTACCACTGCAGCATTACTAGCTAGCTCTGCCACAGAGAGCCTCATGTTCATTTTAATTTTGGGAGTGTGCCATTTCAAACACAGAAAACATGTCGTCGTTTTTAGCTGCTGCTAGGGAATATGCTCTAAAGATTTGCAGTCAACCTTTATGAAATCCAGTTATGGAACAAAAACAAATGCACAAGTACCCATTAATATGCACTAATGCTTTATTAACATATTTCTTTTTATATATATTTTGGGAATCATGCTTTTTGTTCATTTGTTTGTTTCTGATCTATTGCATTCCAGGGTATCTTATTTTGCATTGTGAGATTCTTTGCTACTAAGCTGATACAATCATTTAGCCACATTGTTTCAGGGAGCAGATGCCTTCTTAATGATGAACCTAAGCATCCCAGATTCCTTTATGGCAATGTGAAATCGATTTTATTAAATTTACTTCAACCCCTCTAAAATCCAGGGCTAGAAACTGGGCATGGTGGCACATGCCTGTAACCCCAGTGGCTCAGGAGGCTGAGGCAGGAGGATCATAAGTTCAAAGCCAGCCTTGGCAACTTACAGAGGCCCTAAGCAACTTAACAAGACCCTGTTTCAAAATTAAAAGGGCTGGGGATGTGGCTCAGTGATAAAGCGCCCCTGGGTTCAATCAATACCAATAATAATAATAATAATAATAATAATAATAATAATAAATAAATAAATTCCAGGGCTAATTCATTATTCTTTTAAGAGGAAGATTTAGTGTGTACCTGACAATATTTGGGTATGACCATGTTAAAAAAAAAAAAAAACTGCAGGAAACAGATGATTTTAGCCTTCTTGTGAGAATTTTCAAATTTGTGTGAGAAACTGACCATGTTGAACTTCAACAGGAATGGTCATTTGCTCAGAACACTTTCACATGTTGCTTAAAATCCTTCTTGTGTTGTTAACAGGCAGGTGTCAGAGAAGTATTTTTAAACTATTTCTTCTTGGTCTATAATAATCAGAGAACTCTCCTTTTGCAAAAGTTTCTGAGTTCAGATTCTCCTTTACTATTCTTACCATCCTGTTCATCCTGATTATCACACACAACTGCCCATGGTGATGAGTGACATGGTTTCAGGGCCAGGAAAGCATGTTCTCCTACTTACGTACCTGAGATTTTCCATCGAATGGATATCTGTTACAATAGAACTTGCAAGATGCTCATTTAAAAGCTTGTGACAATAGTTACAGAACTTGACTTTGAAAGAATCTAGCATGCCACCTTAATCAATTTGAAAGAAAGAACCATGAAGTTCAAGACCAATGGCCGTGCATTTCTCATCCATTTCTCTCTAGAAACGATCTAGGTGGCCCCTCTCTTGGTTGACTTTAGCTGCATTCATGCTCAGTTCATGTTGGTCACTGTCCATAGACTTTTTCTTTTTAGTATTGCTGATTTCTTAAATTGTAAAAATATGAACAGCATGTGATTTTGAATGAATTCATATGATTTGCTAGATACTGCATGGGAAAAAATATGCAGTATCCTTTCGAATTGGACTTTTATGCATGTACTCAACATATCTTTGCCTGTTTCTAAAGTGCATTTTCATGGGCTTAAAATGAAAATTTCTCTCCTAAATGCTATATGATTTCAATCACATGTAAAGCATATACCATAAATTTAATTCATATTTTAAGACACTTTTAATGTAACTTGGTTTTTGCCAGTAAAATTACAATTTACGTACTTGAAATATTCATTACATAAATTGACCTTTCTTCTAAATCTTTGCATTTTAGTGTTTGATCAATTAGATCTTGTCACATATGAAGAAGTAGTAAAACTGCCAGCATTCAAAAGGAAAACACTAGTCTTATTAGGTAAGTTTGGCTATAAAAGTGTCTTACTTATTCTCACCTTAAAAACATTTTGTAAATATTATTAACAGTTGTCAATTTTAACTTTTTTTTTTCCAAAAAATGCCATAGGTGCACATGGTGTTGGGAGAAGACACATAAAAAACACCCTCATCACAAAGCACCCGGACCGGTTTGCATACCCTATTCCACGTAAGCAACATCTCAATATCTTTTAATTATGTTTTTCTTATTCATTTTCAACATGGTAATTTACATATTTTTTCTGATTATATAAGTAATAGCTGTTCGTTGTAGGAAATTTGTAAAAACCCAAAAGAGGACAATGAAGAAAATGAGTTAATAATCTCAACTTCACTCTCCCAATAATAAGTTCTTTAAATATTTTGTTGTATACCTTCCTAGGCTTCTTTGAGTATGAATATATGTATTGTGTGTGTGTGTGTTTGTGGGATTTTAAATAACATTAAGTTCATTCATTCTGTTTATAATTTAATTTTTCCAACAGTATGCCTGAAACATTGCCTAGATTAGTTATTCTTCAGAAAAATAAGTTTTAATAGTTAGATATTTTTCTGTAATGCAGCAGTCTCTCTCTCTCTCTCTCTCTCTCTCTCTCTCTCTCTCTCTCTCTCTCTCTCTCATACTGGGGATTGAACACAGGGGTGCTTTGCCATTGAGCTGCATTCCTAGCCATTTTTATTTTTTATTTTGAGACAGCATCTAAGATGCCTAGGGCCTCACTAAATTGCTGAGGCTGGCCATGAACTTGTGATTCACTCCTGCCTCAACCTCCCAAGAAGCTATGAGATTACAGGTGTGCACCAGCACACCTGTCTTCTTCTTATCAGTTTAAAAACCCAGTCAATGTGCTATCAATTGTTTACTATACAGAATTTGAAAATTTTAAGATTTCTAATATCCCCCTTACCTTCCTATATTTTATTCTTAACCTTTTGCCCTCTTCATTATGTGAACTATAAAATAAAATAATCCCAGGGTTGTAAAGAAGATTTGAGAACATGTGTATGAAGCACTTAGCAGATGGTGGATAAGTAGCAGCCATCTTATTATCATCTGTATTCTAAAGTTTCAAATTTTAATCCCTTAAGCTTTCTAGCAGTTACAGCTTTGTTCAGGGTGGGAAGAGCTTAAGGAGAATGATTTGTAAGAGCAACTGGAGAAAATGTCCTGACTAGCTCCTTCCTGCAGGGCCCTGGGATGCCATCCTGAAGCACACAGTCCACACCACTTACTCAGTCTGTACACCTGAGTGAGCCAGGAGGCTTCACAAGATGGCTCTGATTTACCCAAGACAAGTTTATCAAGTATCGTTGCAATTGGTGCTACTGGGGTTTTCTGATCAAATACTTAGATGGCCAATTAGCTAGCTGGACTTTAAACCTTACTTTTGCTGATGTCAATCATATCTAATCTCTGAAATATTTGACCCCATGTAATGATAATTCACCAATAAAAAAATCTGGAAGAAATAAATAAAATATTTGATCCCAGATATGTATACAGCATACATTTAACTACTGAGATAACTGAAGATAGTTATCATCTGAAGATAGTATATCAACAGTATATTATGCCACTTCTTGAGCTTTTGATGTGGCTAAAGAAAGGATTCCTCTCTGATTGTCCACAGTTTGAAGTCCATGACACTTGGCACTTCTAAGGGAAAGAAGAAATTCCCCACTGGCTTGAGCCCATGTGCCAGCAAAGAGTAGTATAAATTTGTCCTTGCTTAAGGAAGGTAGGAAGCAAGGAAGAAGGTAGGAGAGAGGAAGGAAAGGGAGAAAAAGATTTAAACCAATATTCCTTGCTCATCTAGAAAAACATTTCCTGAAGCGAGTTTTGCATATTGGTTTAGACTTTAGTATATACCCACTTAGGTCAGACTTTGGCAAATCTTTTCTGTAAAGGACCAGGTAGTCAACATTTGAGACTTTGAAGGCCACACAGTCTGTGTCACAACTACTCAGCTCTGCTGTGGCAGCATAAAAAGAGCCATAGACAAAAATGTGAACAAACATGCATGGCTGTGTCCCAGTAAAACCTGAAGACTGCAGACCATTTTGGGCCCATGAGCCAGTTTTCCACCTCCTAGTTTAGGTCTTTATATGATAATTATGGTTACACCTCACTAACTGTCCATGATAATGATAGTATTCAATCTCTGTATTGTCCAGCACAGCAGCCATTAACCTCCTGTGCCAGTTAAACCTTGGAATCATGGCTTGTAAAACTGAGGAACTAAATTTTTATTTATAATTTGTTTAAATTTAAATAACCATATTTGGTATTTCCTTTTTTAAATCTTCTTTCTTCCTCCTGCTCAAGGCCCAAATACACTGAGACATATATATAGTGAGTGAGTTAATCTTGGATCATTTCATATCTTTTTCCTGTGGTGGTCCATGAAGGAGTGAAATATATCTGTAAACACTGAAGTATTCCCCAAACCAAATAACTAAATGGCACAGTTATACACATATAAAAATGGTTTCTAGAGTTTGCTTCTAGCTGCTGGGATGGGAACAGGGTATGTGGGACATACCCTAAAGAAGCCACAACTTTTAAAAAGAGATGTAGTCTGGGTGGGCCCATTAGGAACATAACTTCATCAGCTCAGCCTTTAAACCTCTCATGACATGGGACTTTGCAGATACAACCAGACCTCCAAAGAAAGACGAAGAAAATGGAAAGAATTATTACTTTGTATCTCATGACCAAATGATGCAAGACATCTCAAACAATGAATACTTGGAGTATGGCAGCCACGAGGATGCAATGTATGGGACAAAACTGGAGACCATTCGTAAGATCCAGGAGCAGGGGCTGATTGCAATTCTGGATGTGGAGCCTCAGGTAAGGCCCAGCCACCCTGAACCCCTTCATCCTGCCTGCATGCTGATAAGTTCAGATTCTGAAATCAAAAGATGCCATCTGAGATTCATGGGTTGCATAATAATCTCATAAGCTTCAGGAAAGTGTCAATAATCAAGATTTTATGGGTTAACAGTCTAGAATGCAGACTGGCCGATCACTGGGCATGTATTTAGGAAGCAGATTATTCTCCAATGAGATTTGTTATACTCAGAACTTCTACAGAAATTCTACTATCATTTGACCTCAGGGTGAAACTCTGGTACTTTGTTATTACAACAGCCTTGGTACAGTTATGCTGAACCATCAGAGCACCCGCCAGCATCTTATGTTAATCACCAGCAAGACACTGATCCTGGGGCCTGGTTATGAAACACAGTGCTAGCTTTCTGAAAACAAGCATGAGTGACCCCAGATGTCAGATGTCAAGATGGAGCAGGGATGGAGAGCAGGGGTGGTTCTCTGCCTCTCCAGTCTCCTCATAAGAGGATACTGCCTGACCCTGAGCTAAAACTAGGTCAGATATAGACAACTTGGAGAGGACTCAAAGGGAAGTTGGATATGGAGATGATTAAATGATTTGTAAATATTTTTTTGCAAAAAGCAATCGGAATTAGGAAACTTGAAAGAAAAGGCTTGACATCAAAGGAGATGAGGGTGTCGCTCAGTGGTAGGGTGAGGGTTTAGCATATGTGAGGCCCTGGGTTCCATCTTCAGCACCTAAAAAAATGCTGACAAGCTATTTTTTCATGTCTGAGTATAATCCAAGAAGAAATGGACTTGAAGCACAGAAGGAAGGATTTGGGAATTATAGACATTAGGGGAGGTTACAGGAGAGGCTGTGGGTTCCCTTGTGACTCCCAGGTCTGCCATTTTAAAGGCCATTCTGTACCCTAAATCCCTTATCACCTAGAATCAGTCCACTAACCACCAAAATGAAGGGTCAGCTCCCCTTTAGTAGGCTTCCCTCGTATTTCATCAGGAAGCTTAGATGGCCATCCTAGGCAGGGCAAATCCCTGTTCAAGAGTCACAGCATAAGACTTGGTCCCCCAGCCATCCCCAAAGTGAGGACAGAAACTGCATAGCAGGATCTGTGTGACCTGGGACCTGACTGCTCAGTTTCTGGACACCAAGATCCTAACTTGCGGCCAATGGGTTCATCTGTTTCCATTTGATAGCACTTGATGGGGTTCTTGAACTTGGAACTTCGGAAACCATGAAAGGATCTGGTTTGGGGGCTAGGGAGGAGAGCAACAATAGTACAAACACTGTAGTTGACTTGACAATTAACTTGGACCTATGTAGAACTAAATATGATGATGTGTAACGCAGATTGATTTTTGTTTAACTACTAATCCCTCCTTACTAGGGATTGGAAAAATCTTCTGGCCAGGGGTGGCTAGAGGCAAGGTCTCAATCCTGGTCCTGGTCTTCGACATCCTCTCCTTGGGTTCCACACTGGTCTTCACCTGAACGTCGTTTTCTGCTGGTAGTAATGTCTCTAGCAGTATGCTGGCTGCAGGGCTCCTCAGACCCCCTCTGCATTACCTAAGTCCACTTTCAAGGGCTTTCTGCCTTACCTGCTGCTGCTGCTGCTGCTGTCATCGCCGCCACCACCGCTGCTGCCGCTGCTGCTCCACCCATAGTGTCCAGCTCTCCCTGTCCCTTGGTCCTTGCACAGCCATGCATTGCTCTGCACTGCTGAGTGGGAGACCCTTCTCTCGGCCTCATCAGGACATCCACAGCAGTTCCTTTAACCCATTGCACTGTCCCTGGAGCACCTCCTTGCCCCAGCTGGGCACACTGTCCCCCTGCTCCCTGACTGCTGGATGGGTTCACCTGCACTCTCCTCTCCTGCTTCCTGTGTCCCCACCTATCAGAACTGTGATCTCTCAAGTCCACTGACCCCTGAAGGCAGGCCATGGGCATCCTGGTCTCTGCCTGAGCCTCTTTGGGCCAGCAGCCCCAGGGCCTGCTCCTCTCATTGGGCTGGTTGACCACTCTGGTCCCAGGCTCTCTTCTGCCCAGTCTAGACTCATTCCCAGCCCAGGTCTCACACTTGAGACCATGTGTACACCAGTACAGCCCGGGGCGCCCGCAGAGTCTGCGCCAACAGGACTTCACCCTCAGGCCTCTCTGCCCTCAGCCTACTCTCCTTAGGTCTGGGAAGGGTCCTTATCCTGCTTTGGGGATGCCAGTGGCCATGAATAACCTATGTTCAGACAGAGCCTTGATGCTTCAGGGAGACTTTCCCCTTGGGACCTTATGACATTTTTCTCCTAGCCCCTATCCTGCCCTAGCTTGTTAGATTAACCCCACTACTGTATCTCACAGTTTGATTTAACAAACTTCTATCAAGCCCATATATGCCAAGCACTGTGCCAGAAGCTAAAAATATAATTAAGAAGACAAACTGGTGAGGATGAAATTCCTTCCTCCATGTACATCAGAAACTGTCCTTAACAGGGAAAGTAAATTGTGGCATTTAAAAAAAAAAAATCTCACATCCACGACAGCTGAGGCCATTTCTACCACATATGGGCCATAGAAAGACCACCTAATGCTAGTGTTCAGCTCATTGAGTGCAGGTCTAATGCTTTGGGGCCATCTTAATTTATTTTAGACAACCAAAGCCAAATGGAACACATGTGTAATAGTACCATATGATTAAATGTTGTGGTCCAACTCTAAACCTAGACAACAATGGTAAAGACATTGAGCTAGAAAAAAATAGTAACCTGGCTTCTTTTAAAATAATAGATTGTATTGTTACAATGTTTTATATTTCATTAACCATTATTACTCCTTACCTAATCTTTGGAATCCTGTGAAATAGAAATCAGTGTCTATTTCCATAATGGAAGAAATCGAGGCTTAATGTAAAAGTAACTCAAACCAAGGTTTATAGCAGATTGAAAGTGGTTTGAACTTAAACTGTTATTGGTTTTGTTTTGTGTGTAATAAATCCCAACCTCCTCCCTAGGAATCTTCAGGATGGTCCACCAAATGTTTTTAAAACATTTAGAAAAATGTAGAAGGCAATAAAACCTGAGGAAAAAATATAAGATTTCTTTCTCATGAAAATAAAGTGAGGACTCAGTAATCTCTGTCCCTAAAGCTGAAACTAATCTCTCCAGTGTGTGATGAAAGCTTAATGCAATGGTTTTAGAATTTAACCTTACTCCGATTTATCTGTTTAGAGTGTTAAAAGTTAACAGTAGCAGAATATTTGGGCTTTTGCTTTTGCCTACAGAGGGAAAGGTTGTTGTCAAGAGGAAGCTTCTAGGAGCTGAGGATGTAGCTCAGTGGAAAAGTACTTGCCTCACATGCACAAGGCCCAGGGTTCAGTCCCTAGTATGGCATACATAAATAAATAAATAAGGTATATGGGGACAGGGACTTTCAGGAACAAGGAAATGCATGGTGACTTTGCCAAAGATATAAGACCTTATACACAAAACATCATAGCTGGGTTTGGAGGCATCTTAAAATTTTGGAAATATAATAAGATAGGATAGAAATTTTAAAAATACAGTAATTAGAAAATAGAATGATTTAAATATAATAAATACAATAATTGGAAAATACATAATTATAATAATTAGAAAATACAAAAATATAGGAAATAGAAAATCACAATACAGAAATAGAAAATCAAAGCCATGAAAAAGAAGAGGAAGCCAATATGAGAACCACAGGAGCTACTATAGTTACTGTGATAAACAGATTTGGCTCTGAACATACTGGCAACCAGGTTCTGAACCAGAGGCCATTTTGTTCAATTGGTTTCCTCTCTGAGGTCACTGTGCTCTTTCTTAGATTTTTGTAGAAAATTATTTGTCCACTTGCCCTTGTATACTTTTTAACTTTCCAAACCCAATTAGTCTTATAGCTATCTGCATCATACTTGGGTCAAATGAGTTTGTAGTCCTTGAAGATGGTAACCTGAAATTAATTCTTAGCCACACATAGATGAACATAAAATCAATTTACTCCACAAAAGAGAACTAAAGAAGTAACTGTTAAATTAACATTACTCTGACTATTTGAATACAGTGTTCTCAGTGATCTTTCTAGAGCATGTGTGCGCATGTTCTCTCTCTCTCTCTCTCTCTCTCTCTCTCTCTCTCTCTCTCTCTGAATTCCTCTGGGATTCAGAGAGAGACTGTGTTTCCTCTTGAGTCAGAGCTGAAGAAGGTTTAGAGTTTGTCTTTAAGTGAGCTATTAACTGTCTGAGGGAGGAGAATCCTTGTGAGGAGTTCCATTTCCTGTTCCTCAAGTGACTCTGAACCTCATCCAGACTGAAACTGCATCCAAAATGTTGCCCACTTGAAACACAGAAATAGAGCATGGAATGGGGACAGAGACCTTCAGGAACAAAGAAATGTGTGGTGACTCTGCTAAAGATATCATGCGCACTAGACAAGAACATCACAGTCAGGACTTAAGCCACCTCAGAATTTTGGAAAATATAATAATATAGGACAGAAATAGAAAATCAAAGCTATGAAAAAGAGGAGAAAGAAAATATGCGAACCACAGGAGCTACTGTAATTACTGTGATAAACATTAAATTTGGCTCTGAACTTCCTGGCAACCAGGGCAAACACACACACACACACACACACACACACACACACACACACATACATTTATTTGTTTATTTTGGGAATCAAGATTCCAAACATTCTTGACACAAAAGGCTCGTGGCAATATGATGAGCGTAGCCTTCATTGATGGTTTCATACAGTAAATGCAGAATGACCCTCATGTGTTTATGGATATAGCAAATAGGATGTTTCCCCCATCTCAGTTGCTCAAAGGCCAGCTATGTGTGGGTATGTGTGTGTGATAAGAAAACCTTCTGTTCCAGTTGACCCTGTATTCATCTGATGCAGGAGCACAGGAAAGAAAGAGGAGAGGCCCAAGATAACATTGACAAAAAGGACATTTCTAAGAGAAGGTTCCTGTTTGGCTCCATATGGCTTTTTCATGATGACTGTTCCTTGCTAAAGTCTTTGGTCACAAAAGATCAGCAAAGAAATTGCCAGTTACCTCTTTTAAAAGTGAACATTGCAAGTTTTGAAGAGCTTTCTTAGAGGGGACTCTGAACCTGTGACTTTAACAATTAAAGAACTCTAATGAACAAATAAGACAGTGTGCCAGTTTCCCTTAACCCTCCAGTAGATATTCAGAAGTAGTATCCCAGTGTAAGTGGGGCTAACAGTCAAAAAGAAAGTCAGAATTTTTCATATCAAATTTGTCTCTTACATGCATGTAGCAGCATGCTCTCTGGTCAAACCTGCCTCAAAAGATAAATCAAGTACAAATTAGATTTTTTGTTTTGACCTTTTAATTGGATCCTAAAAGCAGTTTATGACAGGTGTCATATTGGACATGAAAGAAACAGTTGAACAGGACATATCCCTGCCCTCAAGGTCCCCAAGGGCTTAATATTTCCAGTGTGGTGGGTGCTTTAAGAGCACAGAGGAGTGGCTCAGGGCTCACAAAGAACTTTCCAGAGAAAAGAACATCGGAACTGAGTTCTGAAGGATTACTCAGTCAAGCAAAGAGGAGAGTGAAGAAGGGGGAAGGTTGATAGGAGGTCCAATCAGAGGGAGTTGTAAGTAAAGACACCAGGAAGCCAGAGTCTGACCCTTTCTAGAACTCAAAGCAGCTTAGTAAGGCCAGTCCACTGAGGAGAGGGCAGAGGAAAGCCAAAGAGGTTAAAGCATGGGCCAGTTGGTGAGGGAAGGATTTGATCTTCATGCTATGGAGTATACTTTTTTTTTAATCCTGTGGCCAAAAGGGAGCTGTTGAAGGGTTTCGAGCATGGAACAATGGGATTGGCATTTCAGAAAAACCATTTTAGTAGCAGAGTGGAGTATAGTTGAAGAACAGCAAAACTGGAAACAGAGAACCAGTCTATTGTGATGACAGTGAACCAGGCAAAAGATGGAGTGACAGGAATAAGGGAAAGCACACATATTTAGAGACCATTTAAAAAGCAAGATATGTGGGAGGCCCTGGGTTCGATCTCCAGCACCGTAAAAAAAAATTAAATAATAATTTTAAAAATCAAAATATGTAGCTAACAAAATTGATATGTTAAATTCTTGTATAAAGAACAGCAAGATATTTACCCCTGATGCATATGAGTTAACTTGTGGATTGAGTTCCTGGATGAGTATACTAGGTTTTGTCCTTGGAGGGGCCTTTATAAACCTCCAAGAGCATCCTGTCCTCCCAGGGGAGGAGCTAAAGCAGTGATCCCACAGCAGAATCAACTCTAGTTGCATCCAATTGCAACTTTGCAGTACATCTATGCAAACTAGTGACTTCTGCAGTTAGAGGTTTGGGATGCTTTGGAAGGGAACTGAAGGGGATCCCAGAGTTCCTTCTCCCTTGAGTGCCACATTTTCTCATGGGTCAACACATTGCCCACAGCCACACGTTGTCTTTAGTGGCAGGGCTAAAACAAAAAAAAGCCCGGGGCTTTATGACTCCAGCCCTGGGCAGGGTCCCCCTGTCTCACAAACCCTATTGGGTCCTTTCACCAGGGCAACACAGAAGGCCTTATGTAAGCATGAATGTAGCCCACACAATTATAGTGGCCAGGATTTGCTATCAGTGGTTAGCAATTTGCAGTTTCATATGTAACAAAGTGGGCTCTGGATTGGTGTGAAGCCAATCTGAAGGCCCATTACCCCCAGATGCATAGACCATCAATTAAAATTCAAGCTCCAGCTAATAACCAGGTTTTAATGAACATTAACCAACATAGTTCATGTTAACTTTTGCGAAGAGAAATAAAGCAAATTGACTCATGAGATTCATAAGAAAAATGTCCAGTTTGTCAGCTTTTGTTTCCTGACAACTATCATTCATCCTTTAGAAGATATGAAGTAAAATAACATGATTTATGAAATTGGTACATTTAATACCTTGCCAAAAAATTGAACCAAGGGCTTGAATTTTTCAGTTATGTAAATTCTTCATAGACTCATTTGAAAGTGACATTACTTATATCTTCATTTAAGTCTCTTTTTGTTGTTGTTGTTGTTTTGTTTTTACCCAGGCACTGAAGGTCCTGAGAACTGCAGAGTTTGCTCCTTTTGTTGTCTTTATTGCCGCTCCAACTATCACTCCAGGTTTAAATGAGGTAAGAATGAATCTACTTTTCCCCCAAATAAGCATGCCCCATTATAAGGATCCACATGTGTTATGCACTCAAAACCAAAGCCCTATTCCATGAAGACAACTAAATGAAACTCTGATTTATTGTTGATGCTGGGCAGTCAGTATTTGGAATGAGGTAACACCAACAGTGTGAACTTCAGAGATCAGAATCTTGAAACAAATTCCAGCCTTAGTTTACAGCACAGTCGGAAAGCACATTGGTCTACATTGGCAGCAAACATCTGCTCTGGTGAAATAGGATGTGGAAAAGAATGGTCAGTCTCAAGTCACTTCTCAAGTCCGAGGATAAACCCCATCAGTCCCCCAAGATGGAGTTTTCCCTGGCATCTCTAGGACTGCCAGCCCACTCTGTCTAGATTCGATGATGCCAAGACAGCAGGAAGCTCCCAGGGCCAGCTCTGGATCAAACATTGCTCTACTTAAAGAAAGCTGTAAGGAATCCATGACCTTAGCTGGGCTACAGAGGCCCCTAGAGACCATCAAACTTAGAAAAGAGCTTTATTCAGCTGGTGATATGGCTTAGTGGGAGAGCACTAATCTATCCATGCAAGAGGCCCTGGGTTTCATCCCCAGCACTGGAAACAAAAAGAAAGGAGCTCTTGTCAGCTCTCAAGCCAACTCAAGTCAGCACCTGCCACAAAGAAGGTATGTGCAAGAGTTGGCTATTCCATCCTTCTTCCCAAGCCCACTAAGAAGGCTTTCTATTGCTGACCAGATAGTCTCACATGTCTGGAAGGTGGGACAGTGCCTCCCTGCCGTCTCTTCTTTAGTTAAGGGAATACTGCTATATGAAGTTATCCTGAAGAACTTTTGCAAATTCTAGAAACCACCAGAGGACTCTTAGCAGTGTTCAATAAACACTGGCCTAAATCACCCAAGCATACAGTGCAGTTAAATCAAGGCTTAGGAATTCATACTTTGTGTACCTTTAATGAAGGTTAAATCTTTAGATGGGCTTTATTACTCGTATTTTCAGTCATCTTTTTTTTTTTGTCATTTCATTTGCAAAAGGCACGTTCCTTTGTAAAATTCAACTTTTCCATCTTATTCATACATAAGCATGTTTGAAATCCACATTGTGGTTAGCGTTTATCCTTTGGTTACCATGTGTTTTTCTTGAATTATCATCTTTGCTTTGTTTTTGTTTTTTGTTTTGCCTGTTTTCCTGCCCTGTTACTAATTTTCCATAGCTGCCAAAATGGTGCAGAAAATTGCCTGTAAGTACCAGCTAGGAGGTGACGAAGTACAGCCTTTGTTCCTTTTAATAGATGTAGAATGTAGACATTTTGGTCCCACGAATCCTTGCTTTCTACTATTAGAATAAAGGCATTTGTTTTCACTGAGTTGAACCTTGCTCACGTGTGAGTCCAGCATGCAGACAAGCTGTTGTCAAGGAAGAAACTGGAAAATAGAGCTTCATCTTAAAAGATCTGTAAGAGGGAGTTTTATTTTCCTATAAAGAGAACTACATCAAAAAGCTGACACTCTCAGCCACACATTTTTTGAATGGTTTCCTCAGCCCCACTTTCTGAACAAAACATAAACCCTGTTAGCAGTTTTTGAAGCCCAGGATCATATAGTCAAACAGAATCTCCTAACAAACACAGACAGTAACTTCATAGGAATTGTTCCTTGTTATACTGGTGGGAAGTGCTTTTGTCTTTGGGTAAATGCAGGTTTCCTAAAATGGCGTTTTTGCATTGAGCTTATTATAAATAATAGAGGGGCCTCAGAGAAGAGGAGAGGGGGTCCTAAGCCACTCCTGGGCACCTATAGCTCCTGGGTCCCTCAAGGATCCCAGCATCTTTTATTTTCTCTGGAGATCTGCCTCTGTTACCCCAGACCCCCACCCCTTTCTTAGTAGATTGCTTATTCCCTTGATGATAGACTTATTACTTGTAAAATCCTGTGATGATCAGTTATCAGCCAGGTGCTTGTTCCTTTGACAGCATTTATTAAGCAACAACTATGTGCAAGGCTCCATGCCTGGGCACAATAATGACAGACACAGGAGACAAGTTTATGCCCTAATTGGGAAGAAGGAAATTAATGAAATAAGCAGATATTTATATCAAATAATATACATTTTCAATATATTTTTTTAACTCAGGCAGATAGTTCACCTACCCAGTGTTCATCCAGTGCAAGGGGAGAGTAGGTGTGGTTATTTGACTCGTAAAGTACTCTACTTTCAATTGAACTTGGCCTTGGAGAGTTCAGTATAACATACTTGTGCTGTGAAGATAATGAAAGATAATGGAGGATCTCTTAATGATGGCCCTTAAGAGATCCTTGTCTTGAAAGAACTGCCAGCAAAAAGCCATTTTCACATGACAAATTTGAGACCTTAAATTCCTTCCTGCCATGGCTCAGCCTGGTGAAGGTTGTCAAAATGTGTAGCAAGCTCTGATTTAGGGGACATCCTTTACCACAGCAAGCCTGCCTAGAGTTCAGTAGCTTTGCTCCAGAGTTGTTTTCGTGAGAAATATAACTACATGTGAACAGTGGCATTGGGTCATTTCCAATGCAGACCAGCTTGGGGAATTCATCAGATGCCAGTTGCTGTTTTATTTGGAAAATGGCCTTATTCCAGCCATTATTTGTAACATCCCAAAAGCTTTGGCCTCTGGCATCTGATGCTGTCAAGTCAGGGCCATTATACATAATTGAATTTTTTAAACATGCTGAACCTTTAGTAGAAAAGGAAAAAATGCAACTTCATTTGTCATCCATAGACAGGGCTTATTGGTGCAAATGCAGGTGGGTCCCCAAAGCGTGGCTCAAGGGAACTTCAAGGACCAAGGGGATGGGGATCAAGAGCCCTTGTGCCAGATGTGAGGATGGGTTAGAGGAGGGAAGAAAGAACGGAAGCCACTGGCAACCCACGCCTCACAGGGCCTCGCCCTGACCGACCTGGGACGGGCACAGCCGGGCCTGGGTGGGCCAGTGTGTTTGCTGGAGAGTGTGCATTTTGTCTGGTTTGTCATGGAGCCCCCTGTTGCATGTCAAGCACTTGTGGATGCCAGCAGGAGTTCCTGCTGTCCCAGGGATGGTGGTCTCCTGTGAAGTGGTCCCATCCTGGCCTCATGCCCAGATGCAGCCCATCAAGGTTCGGCCTTGACGGCTTCTGACACTGGGATGAGCAAAAACAGGTGAAAAGAGAAAGAATCCCACTGACTCCTGTCTTCTGTTTGCTTTCCCCCTCTCCCACGCCCGCCCTTCCTCCACGCTCCCCTTGTAGGACGAATCTCTCCAGCGCCTGCAGAAGGAGTCTGATATCCTACAGAGAACATACGCGCACTACTTCGATCTCACAATTATCAACAATGAAATTGATGAGACAATCAGACATCTGGAGGAAGCTGTTGAGCTCGTGTGCACAGCCCCGCAGTGGGTCCCGGTCTCCTGGGTCTATTAGGCCCATCCCCAGATATCTGAGCATAACTGGGAGCCACCTCATACATGGAAAAGCCTCTTTGTCATGGGCCTTGTGTCAGCAGGTCGTGGTCCCTAGAGACTACCTAGTTGTAGTGTGACCTACATTTATAATTATTGTCATGTCCGAATAGATAGGAGGAGAAAAACAATTACACACTAATTTAAAGAGACAGTATCTTTTTTAATCAGTTCTCCTAAACTTTAATAAAATGTATCTTTAAATGTATGTATTATTCAATCCTTTGGAATGTTATATTTTTGGAAATCATAGCTTTTTATTTCCAAGGCCCCTAAAAACTGCACAAAATAGATGCTGCTTTCTATAATCTATTTTAATAATAATAAACAATGATTCTGTTACCTTGACTGGGGGTGGAACACTACATTCTTTTTAGAGTCTGATTTTATGGATTGGAATATCTTTCTTTCCTTTATTTATTTGAAATAATTAGTCTAGTGATTACAAAACAGTCATAAATTTTTAAAGGCCTTTTTTCACTCTCTCTCTCTCTTTTTTTTTTAGAATAGTATTTTTTTTAAGTCCTTTATGTAACATCCAGATAATGTGATACTGTCTCTTTGAAGCACCCTGTAAACCTTTTAGAGATTTGAAGTTGGGTCTTGACTCTTAATGCATGTGGACAGTCGCGAGCGTTTATGCTGTTGGTGTGTCTGTGTTGGACAAATCAATCTGTAATCTACAGCCAAGTACTTTCCGTTCACGGGGCACACCCAGGAGAATAAGAATAAAATGCTATTATGACTAAGTTGTAAACCTATGCACATCCCTTGCATTTCGGGCAACTTTATAAAAAAAAGAAAAGAAACTGATTTTTATTAATAATAATCATGTAGTGAAATGTGTTTGTAATTTTGTCTCAATTTAATTTGTTGTAAGGTGGGAGGGGGAATTTGCTGGTTTCACCATTTCGGATCTGTGTTGTCTAAGAGTATTAACGTTTTAATTAAGCAAAGAAATGAGGATTTTTAATCTGTATGTAATTGTTTTAAAAGCACCCATTTTAAGAGAAAATACTGTGCAATGAAGAAACCAGTTTAGGCGTTTGCTATAAACTGAATTATTCCAAAAGAATAATCTATAACAGCCCTGTAAATTCCTTTAAAATGATAACTAACAGGACAGTCTGACCAATTTTTTTTAAATATACTTCCTTTTATGTGTTCAATAATTAAATGCCTTTGGGTCCTTCATTTCATTATAGAGTTGTTTAGGCCTCCAAGCCGATGATCTTTTCAATTTTAGAATTCATTAGATGCTCGTGGACCCATCGAAGGCCCAGGAGTGAGTATCAGTAGGCAGGACAGAAACAGCCACCTGCCAGGGCACAGCGTGGACCGCGTCTGACTCGCAGGGCTACCTGTGGTCTCTCCTTCCTCTTGCTATATCCCTTGGCACAGGGGAATCATCTGTCCTTGTTGCTTTTAGAGACATTCACCATCTCATCACCCCGCCACGAGGTCACATTCTTCTAATACAGGACATTCGGGCTGGGGGTTCCCAGACCCTGCCAGAGGTCAGTAGAATGTTTTTTCTTAGCACGTGAGGGTGTGAAGTGCTTATGTTAACCTGGGATTCTTGAAAACACGCCATCATTTTTGCTTCTTGTAGGTTAGATGGCCTCTGTCACATTGTGCCTTGGCAGGATGTGCGGGGTGTATTCTGAGCTGAACAGCTCCTCTTAAGGGACCGAACAGAAAAGGCAGTTTTTATAGACTCCTCCTTCATGGTCAACACCCCACCCCTCACCTACTGTTATTAAAGATGCCAATTGGTTGTTGGGTTTTGGTTGTTTGTTTTTTTTTTTTTTCTGATGATCATTCTTTGTCAGTGACCGGATGAGTCGACAACTTACTAACAGGTTGTTGAGTGAACTCCTTGTGTTTGGGCCCTACGGTGGGGGTGACCAAACAGGTAAACCAGAGACAAGCTCAACAGTGGGCTCCCCTAGATGGAGAGAGAAATGCTCAAAGAGTCGTATAGGCCTGTGTTAGGACAGATTTCAGTCTGATGCCAAGGCCAGACAGTCATTCCTGCAATGGTACTGACTACAATCCGGGCTCTTCTCAGTGTCAAGGTGCCCGCTCTACCTCTTTTCCAATGAAGCACAAAGAAGACTACAACTAACACATGGGAAACCAACTTCCTTCCCTCTGGTGGAAACCCTCACACCCCCACTTGCCCTTAGAGACCAAATCTCCAGAAATGTTGACAGTGCCCTTTGGAAGCCATCCACCATGTGACTAAATGTGGATTAAGCCAAGGAGGAGAAAGGGGAGGGCAAATCAAACATCAGTGATCCCCCCGTGGAAAGGCACCATACGACTTGTCATCTTGTTGGTCGCTTTCTGCATGCTCCAAGAAGGGCACAGGCAGCCATCTTCTGGAGCAGTGTCTTTATGACCTAGCAGAACATCCTTCAATTTCTGAATTCGGAGTCATTTCTGCACATTGCTGCTCCATCACAATCGTCCACTAAACAATCAGAGAAAATTCCTAAAACTTCTTTCCTGCCTCTATCTCATCAGCAGAACCATTTTTTGTTTCCTTTTTGAAAACCAGAGCAAGTGATTTGATTGCTAAATCTTATCAGTGGTCAGTTGAAGCATTGGAGAGCCCTATTCCAAGGGTCCTCTCCCCTACGCAACCCCACTCCCCACAGCAGGAAAGGGAGCGTTTTGATGTGTCGAGTTCTTTGTTAAGAAAATGAAATGTCCTGATTTTCCTAATCATAAGGCAGCCATTCCTTTGCACATGTAGCATATTGCATTTTAACACTGAAAAGGAAAATAGCACTCAATTGAATTCATCTGGAAGTTTCCCAGTGTCGAGATAACATTGTCGCTTGTTAAAAATGCAATTAAGTGTATCTCCTGTCAGGTGAGATGATTTGAAATATCTGCTCAGAGAGGAAAAGAAATGGTTGACCTACTTCTTGCTATTTGCATTCAGAAGCCATCACCCCATCTTATTGGTGGCAGAATATCTAGAGATGTGCAGAGTTCCCCACTGCACGAAGAAATGCAGAATCTGTCCCCTTCCCTGTGTCCAATTCCTTCTCCCACGGCCTTCCTCTGAAGCTATTACCTTTGTAAAGCCTTTTATCTCAGCGTTCTTTGGTTTCTTTTGAAATCACTCCTAGTTCTTACTTCATTCAGGCTTCCAATTCATTCCTTGCAAAAGTTTAGTCGATGGAGTCACCCTCCAGGAAACTGGACTATTGGAGATGCCCAGAGTGGAAACCGCCCCTCAAGGACAAGGCAGCCCAAAGTACTCTTTGGTCTCCCACTGATGGCATGTCCTTTATTATCATTTCAGGTCAGTGTCTTAATTTGGAGTGAAGGTAAGCTTAGCTTGCTGCTCAAGCAACCAGGAAAACTGCTTGATGGGTCAATTCTTAATATCAAACCTGTGCGTATTTTGTGTTGGTGGTAGTATTGTTGTTTCAGAACTGAGCACTGTCTCCCAAGTCCATTATCTTTGCAAGGGCTTACTGTGCTGAGGCTCACTGTGGCCTGTAACAGATTTAAGGCCCCTGAACGCATCTCTCTTGTCCTGCACTTGAGATTCATTCTTCTCTTCCAAAGATACCTTGCTTCTTGCTGTGGCTTATGGAAGGGCTACACACTTTAGTTGTGACTCTTTTCATTGGGTAGAGATTTCCCTTTTCTGATCCCTTTAGAAACCACGTCTGCATCTCTGTTCATCTCCAGTTACAGGACTGTATGCATGAGGCTTAATGCAGGACTGGCTTGGCCTGTGCACTGGTCATTTTGCTGTCAATTTGGAGACATGGGACATCTCAGATGGCAGAACTTAGTGCATGAAGTGTAGCTGTCACGTCCATGCAGGAAGTGGAGGAAAGGAAGGGGAGTCTTTTCTCTGCCATTTTCCCATCTGATCTTTTCCTGGCCCACAGATACCACCATGGCAAGAGGAAAGCACCATCTCTGCAGCAGGCACTCCCAAGTCTTAGCTCTTTGTGGGGAGTCAGTGGGGGGGGGGGCAGAAAATCCTGAGTTCCCACCACCTCTCACCTGACCCTCCATCAACTCCCTTGAACCTGTGCAAATGGACCAAGCAAAAGAAAATGGAGAGAGAGATTTACAACCACACGGGAGACCTCTGTTCTGGTCCCAAGCACAACTCCATATCCATGTTCGCACAGAAACTCAGAACTTTGTTAGTGCTTGGACTTAGCTCCATTGTCTCTGGTGTGACCAAGGAACATGCCAATGTCCTTACCCACGGAGGCCTGGAGCGAGCCTCTCTGGACCCTGGGGAAGTACAATCTCTGTAGAAGGAATTGTGCTTGGGAGGAGAAATGTGTTCCTCTACAGACACTGGCTCCACTTTCGCTTTTCTTTTTTTCTTGTTTGAAAGAGACCAAGAATTGGGGGCATTGATTTCCAGCCTCAGCTGTCTCCCAGAATGTCCGGGCAGGCAGGCGGGTGGCTGCCTGGAGGAGTGTCACCACTCAAACTCAGTTCTGGGGTGGTTTTGCATAGTTTTGCCAACGTGTTCTTTTTTCTGTATGTATTATTGCCTTTTTATAAAAGGTTTTGAAGTATTGTCTCAGTGATAAAAAGAGAGAGATGTTAATGGTTGTTGTATATTTCACCGTTTCCAATTGTAAGTATTTGCGGGGTTCAGCAAAGCCTTAGGGTCGCCAGAGGAACTGAAGGGATTGGAAAGGTTCGGATGCTTTGTAAAATGTCCTGCTTTTCTTTCTCTCTGTGTGTATCTATTTACATGCCTTAGCACACGCCCTCCCGTCCTGATCCCTTTGCCCTGTCGCCGGAGCAACCACAACGCTGGTGTGCCACCAGCACAGTACAAGTCGAAACCCTAATCAGTTATCTCGTGTGACAGGGGAAGAAGAGAAACTCCATAGTATTCTTTGTAGAATATCCATACCTGTAGGATGCTGTGTAATGGGAAACCATAGAATTGGGCTTTTGTCATTTCAAAGTTGGAGAAATGTATGAATAAAATGTATAAAACATGAAAAGGCAGTTGTCTCCTCAGATTGCAGGCCAAACAGCTTGGGGACAAACAACACGAGGGTTAGTAGAAGAGAGGTGGCCCAGATTCTTTTCTTTTTATTTTAATTTTTTTTTGTCAGTACTGGGGGTTGAACTCTATCACTGATATCCCCAGTCCCTTTTTATTTTTGTTTTGAGACAGGGTCTCCCTAAGTTTTGCTGACTGACCTCGAACTTGGTGATCCTCCTTCCTCAGCCTCCCTAGTCACTGGGATTATAGGTGGGCACTACTGTGTCCAGCAGATAGTCCAATTTCTGAAGGCCCCTATAGAGTTCCTCTACACAGGTAAGACTCACAAATCTTCCCTCTAAAGTCCTAGAGGCAGAGGGACAGCTCCTGCTCCCTCCCAGAGGAGCACATCCCAGGTTCCTGGGGTCCATCCTGGAAGCCTCCGAGCCACGGCTGTTACAGACTGCATACTGAGAACAGTGCAAGCCCGGTTGGATACAGATTTTAAAATAGCTTCAGATTTTTATCTTAAAAAAAAGGAAAAATAATCCCAAGTTTGACATCTGCTAGAAATAGAAGTCTAAATTGATTTTAGTGATGTAGGCGCCACAGCACAAAAAACGTAGCTCTTATTTGACGTTTGTATCGAAAACTGTGGGAGGAAGCCTGCTCCAGGACTGTCACTCACACCAATACCTTTGCTGTTTTGTGTTTGGATTGGTCTCTGGCTGGAGTCTGGGTCGTCGCTCCTGGCATACCCCCATTTGCCTAAGGCACTTACCTGGGTCACTTTAAGAAGACTCATAAAAAGAGACAGGCCCAGTGACACACTCCTGTAATCCCAGCAGTTCAGGAGGCTGAGGCAGGAGGATCGCCAGTTCAAAGCCAGCCTCAGCAACTTAGCGAGGCCCTAAGCAACTCAGTGAGACCCTGTCTCTAAATAAAATACAAAATAGGGGCTGGGGATGGGACTCAGTGAATGAGTGCCCTTGGGTTCAATCCCCAGTACCAAGTGATTATTTGTGTTACTCGAATTTCACACTACAGAAATTATATAGAAGATTCTGGACCTTATTCAGACAACAAATTGAGCCCCCAGCCTTTTGATTCAGGGAATTGCAAATCATCTTTCTGCAGACTTCTTAATCTAGATGTACAGACAACAAAATACATTATGCTTATGATCAAGCATTTATTGAACTTCATGATATTTAAAACCCAATCAACATGTCAATATTAAGCCAATAGAAATATAGACATGTATTCCCATGTTTTCCCTATTGACTAAAATACACTAAGCTGAGTAAATAACACTGCGTGTCATTCCATAAACTGCAGCAGAGACTGGGGATCCGCAAAACACACAAGGAGATTAACACAGGGTGAGGGTGGCGAGCTTTCTGAATGGACAATGGAACAAGCTAACAACCCAGTCAAAAGGAAAGGGTACTGCAGAAAAGAAGATTCCAGAAAGTGGTGATTGACTTTATCAACAAGTGAGCACACAAGACATGGGGCCTGCAAATCCCACGGTTGTGGCATCAGGGATGCTATCCCCACCACACCTACTCCATCCTCTCCTCCCCATCACAACCTTTCAGTGACACCCAGAAACGACTTTTCGTCATAGATGCCATTTAAACACATGGTCACTAAAAGCTTCCAAATACTGCTGTTACCCTCTCTGTTCCTTAGAAGGCAGCTTTATATCCCCTTCCCCATGGCCACTTGCCCTACAGAGAATCAGGCTCCCTAATGACACCAGAGTTATCTGATGAACAGCTGGAGGGGAGCCCAGATGGGACAGCCTGCAGGGACTTCAAAAGTGACTCCAGACCTGAAAGACATTAGATGCATAAGGCTGGTCCACCACAAATCCACAGCTTACCATAGAATTTTTCATAGAACTTTCTGGGGTGATAGAAATGTTCCCTTTCTTACTTGGAGTGGTGAGTACAGGGGTGTAGATGACGCTGAGAACACATCAGACCATATAGCCAGGATCTCTGTGTTTTATCTTATGTAAAATATAGCTCAGCTACAAAAAAAAAAAGAAAAGAAACTATGATCATTTTTGCAGCTGCCCCCAAAAAAATCATTTGGCAAAATTCAACACCCAGTTCTCAGTTTTAAAAAAAAAAAGCTTAAAAATAAGATAGGAAGTATCTTCAACACATAAAGAACAGCTGCTTAAACCCACAGCCAACATAATTCACCCAAAAGTAACACAATAAAAGTCTTTTAAATTGCTTAAATAATATATGATCTTCATAGAATGGTCAAAAATGTGTATAAAAGAAAAGAAGAGGTAGATTCAACTGAATTCTGCCACTCAGGGACATATGCCTTACTTACCCATATCCGACTAATATAAATTTACACATTTTTGTGGGTGGGGAGCACCAGGGATTGAACCCAGAGGCACAAAAACACAAAATATAAAAATTAAATAATAGCAATGAAAACAGAATTAATTGTCAGTAAAATTGTAGAAGAGGGCAACTTTTCAAAGTTTACACAGGAGAACAAAGTAACAAAGCAATATTGCCTGGAACCCAACTTAAATATTCAATTCCATAAAACCACAGAACATTCATGTGAAAAAGTTATACACCTCAAACTGAAGAGTGGTAGATAAAAAAAATAAAATAATAAAAGAGTGACAAACATTTTGCAACAAATACAAATATACAAAGAGTTGATATATTTATTTTATAATGAACTTATGTAAGCTGATTAAAAATGCAAATGTCCCAACAAATGAACAAAGGACTTGGATATTTAGCAGACTATAAACATAGTTCCAATTAAAGAACAGACAATGAGCTGGATAATGCAGTGGTGCACACCTGTAATTCCAGCAACTTGGGAGGCTGAAGCAGGAGGATCACAAGTTTGAGGCCAGCCTCAGCAATTTAATGAGGCCATAAGCAACTTAGCAAGACCCCATCTCAGAATAAAAATACAAAGGTCCGGGATGTGGCCCAGTGGTAGAGCATCGCTGGGTTCAATCCCCAGTACCAAAAAACAAAAACAAAAAGAACAATGAAAAGTATTTCAATGACCAAGAAAATGTAAGTTAAATCTCTTTGTAAAAACAAAAGCATGGAGCATGAACTGTATGCACAGGCTCTAGTTTCATCCCTAGCATCACAAAACAAAAATAAAAACAAACCTTGAGGAATTATATTGACCTATTAATTAGCAGCCTTTAAAAATATAATACCCATGCTGGGTTTGGATTGAAAGTTCAAGACCAGCCTCAGCAACTTAGTGAGACTCTGTCTAAAAAGAGCTGGGGATGTGGCTTAGTGGTTAAGTGCCCCTGGGTTCAATCCCTGGTTATATATATATATATATATAAAAGAACCTACATATATATAAAATAACCTACATATAATATATAAAATACCCAAAGCTAGTGTGTGTGCATTAAGGAACTGGTATTTTCATACTGTGGCTGGTTTGGGGGTGGGGACAGCACTGAGAATTGAACCTGGGGTGCTCCCCACTTCTCCACTGAGCTGGGGATATCCCAAGCTCTTTTTATTTTTTTATTTTGAGACAGAGTGTTGCTAAGTTGCTAAGGCTGACCTCAAACTTGCCATCCTCCTGCCTCAGCCTCCCAAGGTGCTGGGATCTGAATTATGCACCACTATGCCCAGCTAAAATGTACTTTGAAACATTGCTCCCAGTACTGAAAGTAATATGGTTTACATTTACCAAGAATCATAAAAATAAAAGTTCCTTGGGTGAGGGGACTGGGATTGAACCCAAGACCTCAAGCATGGTAGACAAGCACTCCACTATTGAGCCACATCCCCAGCCCTTTTTATTTTTTGTTTTGAGACAGAGTCTCGCTTAGTTGCTGAGGCTGGCCTTGAACTTGCAATCCTTCTGCGTCAGCCTCCGGATAGCTGGGATTATACCCTGTGCCACCATGCCCCACTTGTACTCTCTTAAATATCCACTTTTTAATGTCACTCAGATTCATTCCCTTCATCCCTTAGTTCAGTTGACTGATGAGGACACAATGCAGAGACAATCTTATAGCTATCTCTTCACCCTGTGTCACCCTTTTGCCTTCCTACCCTCACAGCTAGGTGACAAAGGGAAGCAGCACAGTGAATCCAGGCCATAGTGTCCCTAGTGCTGCCTCTTGCATCCGGGTATCTGAGGCAATTTGGTCAATCTACCAAGCTCAATTTTCTCGTGGGAGAAATGCAGAGGATATCGAGTGAGGAGGGTGAAACATAGAGGACTCTTTAAACATAACAGCTTCAAACAGTGTCTACATGGAAATAATGGTTTTATAGCTGTTGCTCAAGTGGAGTTAAGGTAGATGGGATCTCTTTACAGTCTTTATCACAAATCAACAGAGCAAAACCTGAGCATTTCATATATGGCTGTCTGAATGGGCCATAGCAGGGAGCAGGGCACAGAAATTGTAGCAGGACAGCTGTCAACTCATTCTTCCTGCCTGAGGACTTAAGCTGTCAGCATCAGGGGACCAGGCTACACAGATCATCTAAACAAATCACAGTGACAGAGTTATAGCAGGTGGAAGAATGAATGTCTTAGGGAGAGAGTTTCCCAGCCTGAACACAAAATGTAATTGCTTAAGTGAAGTTAATACAGGCAGTGCACAGGGATTAGCAGAATGGTCAAAGGAATCGAATAAACATCCCAAGAACAGATCCACAAGCCTATGAAAAATTGAATAGGACAAAGATGGAACTTCAATGTAGTGCTGAAATCACAGACTACTCAAGAATTATCCCCAAGGAGCTGGGTGTGGTGGTGCACACCAAAAATAGTGGTGCACACCAAAAATCCAAGCAATTCAACTTGGGAGGCTGAAGTAGGAGAATTGCAAGTTTGAGGCCAGCCTCAGCAATTAGGGAAGCCCTAAGCAACTTAGTGAGGCCCTATCTTAAATAAAAACTAAAAAAAGGCTTGTGGCTCAGGGGTAGAACCCCTCTAGGGTCAATTCCTAGTACAAAAAAAAAAAAAAGA